TCAATGCAAAATGCAGAAGTGGGCCCCTTCGGACACACAAACATAAAAACGCAAGGAATGTATGAAACTAAAGAATTCCTATACAATATATGAGCAGCAGAACACTTTTAAATCTATAGGAAACTCGATCCAACTTCTAGATGTGCATGTAATCTACTGCAAAGCATTTAAAAACGCAATAAAATACCTATTAACAATCACCATATCACATTTAGTCTTCACCCTTTTCTGTAGAAAGTCAAAAACACCACTATGTTATAGTTATAAGCAAATTAAATCAAGAATACCATGTCCATAAAACAAATTACCTAGAGACGTCACGCAAAAACAAATCCAAATGACTCAGGTCGCTACGGCAACACGGCTGTGTAGGAAACAGAAAGAACAAAAACAAAGAAAAATAGCCATAAACAGTGTGATTGAATTAGACATGGTTTAACGACCCGAAACTGGAACACAGCAGAGCACATGCTTAATGCTGGCAGAGCATGAATACATGATTTAGCAATGTTACATACACCCAACAACACAAAACAATTTGCGAGACTGTCCAAGAAAAAGGAAAGCGTCTGTCGTTTCAGCAAATGCCCAAAACCTACTGCCTGTTTCTCATTTCCTACTGGCAGTCAGTGCGGGTTTCTTTTAACTTTTATCCAAGTGGTCGTCTAGTAATCATGACAGCAGAGTTTCCCCTAATCTCAACAAATTACTCATTTTAACCAAAACCATTAAAGTTTTGTGCCTAAGCCTAAACAAACCTTAACCATAGTGTTGTCAAATCATAAAATCATAAAACTGACAAATGATGTTTCCTACAAATGTACAGTCCAACAGATCAGATCAGAAAAGAGTTTTGTGTGTCGCTACACTACGCTTGTGTGTATTTAGCCTCAAGGGAAGGACATGGCAAATTCATTTTATGACACCAGAAACCTATTTAACGTTAATGTCCACCCAAAGCTGCAGCTTTAATTTATATGCTATGCTAACATATGCTATCCCTGCCAATTACTGTGTCCCATAACAAATCCTGTTAACCCAGTTTGTTTTATATTGCCTGAAATACATTCAAATATCCCGTATTGTTGGCATTTTGGAATAAGTTGTTTGGATTTTTTTTATGGTGAATAATCCAGCCAAATCAAAATCTTGTCAGTAAATCTTGTAAAATTAAGTTCCAATCCAACACTAATCAACAAATCTGTCAGTTACACAGCCCAAGCCACGCCTAAGGAAGGGCCCTGTGCCATATTTGGGAACTTTCCTCATCTGTTACAAAACCATTCACGACTGTTCAGAGCTGAGCCACTGAGCCAGAAAATTAAGATGAAGACATTAATGTAAAGGGAGCGGTTGTTGATGTCAATTGTAGCAGCTGATGGCAAAAAATGGTTGCATCATGAATGGTTGCGGTTAAAAATTCACGATTTTAATTTTCCTGTAGCTTTATCTTACTAAGTCATTTAAACAAAAAATTGAGTGATTAGATATAGACATCCAGCTTAATGAGGAAAATGTCATGCCAACACAGGAGGGACTAGCTAAAATTACAGTCATGTGTCAGACTGATAAAGATGCTTATTCACTTTGCTATTTAAATATATATTACTAGTTCTTTATCTTGCATGACTCTCTAGGTTAAACCAGAACATTACACTGTCTGAGTTATAGAAGATGTATTAGTGATGTGGATCAATTATGGGGACACATTATTTAAAATGTGAGCTGAAGGCAGTTTTGCTGAGGCCAGCATATGACATTATAACCTTTGAAGAACTATTAATTTGAGACCTTGTCATGAGGAACTATCTTGCTGGGATAGAGAGATTATTTGCTTCGTTGTTTGTGTTGTAAATCTTGTAAATTAACCAGAGTGCTAGTGGATGTCATCTCTGATTAGTATCAACAGCCCTCTAATGAAGATGTTCAACCTGTAGGCGTGTGGCAGCTCTCATGCGCTGAGAGTTTACTTACACCATGGTGGGGTTTTTTTTACACAAGAGCATCTGGACTTGAAAACTTTATCCAAAAAGTCCAATGCCTGCAATAAAACTATTTTACCAAGAGACACGTATGGCAGAAATGACTAAGCCTTATAAAATGGAAAGCTTGTTAAAGGATCACAGAGAAGAAGAATCAGCAGTTTGGAAAATAGGATTGTGTTGAGAGTGTGAGGAATGAATCTGCAGTTGTTTTGGAGATCATCAGACTGTGGTCAGCGCAGCAAGGACATGCAGACGGCCCCCTGACGAACAGATGGACAGCCAGGAGGAGAAAGCAGAGGAGGTGATCCAGAGTGTGGACAATCCATGATCAAGAAGCAGTGATAAGGAACAACAGTGGAATGGATATCTAAAACTCTTCTCCCTGTCTGTCTGTCTCCACTGCGGGATGTCTGTGAGTTTCAGGGCTGACGTATGCTCTCGCTTTCAGCTCAGCCTGAAAGGAAAAGGAAGAGAAGCCGGCAGAGGAGAATAATTCATCCCGCCCTGTTCTTATAATGTCACACTAACTCACAGCAGCATGGAGAATGAATTACAAAAGATGGAGGAAATGACAGTAAACATATCCTGGATGATTTTCTGGGTATAACGGGAACATTATCAGTTCTGGAACAGATTACAATACAAGGAAACTCATTTGGATGTAAAGGTTAAAAAGGCTTTGTGCTGACAGTCAGTCTCTTACTCTGTTTATTAGAGCTTCTCCAAGCTTTGCATCTTAATGAGACATTTTTTTGTTTCTGGTAGAAACTTGTTAATGAGGAAACATTCTGAATTAATGTCTTCTGCCATTAGAAACTTACAGAATAATGCAGGTACACTCTTAAATGTTCAGGTATCCCCTTCACACAGCAGATTTGTACTTTTCAGGGTTTTTTATGATTCAAGCATTTTTTGGGGGGTTGTCAACAATACATTTTGCAGTAATTGCTTCCTTCCTTGAACTGGGTCTCCAGGGCAGCATTTCCTCCCAGGCTGCCTACAAATCCCACCTCCGATTGGCAGACCCTAATCTGAACTATGGCCTAGCCTCAATAGCCAAAAAACAAACAGCCATTTAATTGGCGGATCTTGGTGGGGGTGGTGCACAGCTTTGGATATATGGGGCTCCGTTCAGGGCAAAATAAAGAGGTCATTTTAAAATGGTTCTATTTGTTCCTGAAATGCACACCTTGATATTCTGTTTTAAAAGCAGCACGACCAAGTGGTAACTGCAGGGCAGATAAAGCTTAGCATTAATGAAGGAAAATCCTGTAAACGCAGGTTAATGAAGTAAAAATGCACCACCAAGCAGAAAAATAAGAGTCCAAAAGAGTTTGTCTCCAGTTTTGATCAGACTGAGTGGACCTTAACTTACCATGATTTTGAATTTTAAAAAGTGCTGTTCATTATTGCTAATCTACAATCCACCTGACTTAATACCAAAATTGATTTGTCTAGTGGTACATAATAAGTTACCATGAAGGTTGAGAAAACAATTTTTTCCCCTGGATAATCATCATACTGTGACTGCTATCTACACTCCAGACAGTGTGATGTTGCTCAACGGTTCAGACTAGGTGGAGAATTAGTGCAGCAAAGATTTGATTTTTCCTGTTGTTTTTTTTCTAAAACTATTACCAATTTGAAACATGAAGTTTCTCTCTCTGTGAAACATTTCTGCTTGAGTACATCTGCTTTCAAAAAGTGTTTAGGGAGAATATGATTGGTCTTTAAAGACCAACAATGTATTTTTGTGGGTTGTTTGTCATTTGCTACAGTTTTTGTCTTTTGGCAGAAATATGAAGTTATGAATGCATCTGAGAGTAATGAGTGTATCGCCTCAATTAATTCATTTTCACTAACTGAAATCTATTGAGGCATTTGTGTAGGCTAGATGTGGATGTTTGACACAGAAGAGATCCAGAGGGTTTTTAGAGTGGAACTTAACAAACCAGAAAAACACAGACTGACGTGAAGAAATAAGAAGTGGGAATTGAGCAAATACGGGTTTGCCTGCTAACTGCACAGAAATGTTTAAATATGTCACTCCAGGATGCCTGTGCAAACTGATTCGTTTCTGTGTCAATCCTGAAGAAAAACTACACAGCATCGCATCAGTGGAAACATTCCTCAAGAATACATATTTGAATGTTTAAACATTGTAAAAGAGCAGCGGAAATATGAGCAGCGGTTCATGCATCCTCTGACAGTGATGCATAATCAAGTGAGGCGTCACCAAACCATATGACCCACCAGGGCGTCATGTCTCACTTGGAAATGATTACATGCAAAGACGAATTCACACCGATTCACACAAACAACCCGGTAAAAGCTCACACATTTCAGGGCGTCTTAAAAATAGCACCTACTTCGCTTATATCCACTGCTTTAATTGAATGACATTCATTTATCCGACCAGTCTTGATCTGTGCATTGATTAGACCTATGGACTCCCCGGATTCGCTTGTGTGGATGTGAGGAACAACAGTCAGCCAAGTGGAGCGGAAATGAGAGAGAGGGGCTTGCAGAAGGGGCTCCCATAGACACAGTTGATGAAGGGGTTCATTGTATTGTCAAGTCTCCCCCTCCTCCTCCATCAGCTCCATGAGAAATGTCAGCCTCGTTCCTGTGCTCCTAAAGCCTTTCAGGAAAGGTGATTCATCTGTTGATCAGACAGGGACCACAGCCCTCCAAAACAGAGGCTAAACCTCTCCAACAAACGCGTACACACACCAATATCCACAAGGAGAGGGGTTTGTAAAGTCAGCAAGAGCGACTGAGCTCAATCCCAAATGCCACGAGAAAACCAGAATAACCTTAATTGATCGTACATAGCTTTTTAAACATGCAAAACACGCGTCCAAGTAGCTTTGATAGACAGATTTGTGCAGCATACTCTAACAGACAGAAGCCACAACACAGCTGCGCAACTCTGCATGCATGCCTGTCACAGCGCTCCTTAAAACCCCCCGCTGCTCCAAATGTGACACTGTAAAAGAGAGGACACACTCTTACCTTTAAATCCTCCAGATGTAAGTGAGCCTAAAAGTGGAGAAAATGAACTTCTGCGATCTCTGATGCCGTCCAGTGTGTGTTTTTTCCTTCTTTTTCTTCCTGCGTCTTTGTTTGGCAGAGCCAGCTCCAGTCAGCACTCGCCTCCTGTTTGGACGCCGCTCGCCAAACCCGCCACACGGATACAAATGATTTAAATTTTTTTTAAATGAAAAGAAAAAGAAGACAGATGTGGGGAGTCAAAATGCCAGTGTGAATTGGGAAGTGTTGTTAGTTGTGGAGGGGTGGATAAAGCGCCCTGTGCAGATGCGGTGTTAGTCCCAGACTCCAGGTTTGAAACAAGATCTCCTGTTTGTCGATCAACTCCGCTGCTCAGCCGCTGTCCAGTAGCGAGTGGTGCTGAATGAGACTCCAGGGGTTGCAGAGATTTCCTACTTTTCTTCCTCTCCTGTGCTCCTTCTGTCTGACTGACTGCACAAATCTTCCCGCCCACCGCGCAAGATTGGAAATGATGTGTCCCCTCTTCCCTTTTTTTTTTTTTTTTTTCCTTTTTTTATTAAGCGCCACAAATTAGATCCCTTGCAAAGGCGAGCTTTGTCTGACACTGCTGGTAACGCATTCCACAACAACAACGAGAACAACAAGAACAAAACAATAAATAGGGACAGGAACTGACTGCGTAAAAATCGATGCTTGACAATTTACATTGAAATCAGCTGTATTTTAAAATCAGATCAATAAGTTAACCTCGAGGTCGAAGCTGATGATTCGTTCATTGGAATTACACACAAAATAAATGATGGATGCTTCCCAGTTTTAAAGTCTGCCTCTGTGTTGTTATAAAAAGGTGAATTGGTGTAAAAAGCGGTTTAAAGCAGCTGACAGGTAATTCCAAGAGTTTTGTCACATGCAGGCCGAGGATGAAGAAGCACGGGAATGTGACAGAGCTGCCCCTTTTTTGTCACCAGAGATCAGAATCAGGAATACTTTATTGATTCTCTGGGGGGGTAAATGATGTTGCAGAGATTGAGGTGTGGAACTGTAACTCTCTCCAGGATTTTGGCTCTCACTGCTCCTGATATCTGCATTTAGCATGAATTACTATACACTGAAATTATTTACAGGAACGCACTGACGCCTCTCCGCCTCACCGGGGCGGTTTATAAAGTGTGTTTATGTCTCGCTGCCCTGAAATCATCCCTGCGTGTCAGTGTATGGTTGTTGTGTGTTATCTTTTATGTGCAACGAAGGACTGTTAATGGAGGTTTGACGATTCTCTAAATTAACCAAACCGTGCAGGAAGGGCTCATTTCCAGGTTCGGGTCCTCTGAGTGCAGTGTGAACCAAAAATCCACTGTACAACAGTATTGGATTTCATTCTTAAGGCGCCCACTAGCGCATCTTTAGGTGCACTACCGCCGCTTCTGGCTGCTGTCTTTGTGCTTGTGTGAATATTCAAGCAGTCTTTAAAGTTCTGCAGTGGAAATTGCATGTCACACACACACACACACACACACGCACACACGGTTGAATCACACGCCTCATTCTCTACGTTTATGTACTGTTCACCGTTCAGTGATTATCTCGGATCATCCCTCGGGTAATTTCGACTTGTTCATTGGAATCGCTTTTCTTTATATGTTTATCATTACCGTGCTGATTGCAGTTATTGATTCATCAGTCTAATCAGCCGCACCACACTCGTCCGGTAATGAATGAACGCAGCCGATCCAGCTGCTTCATCTGGAGCCGCACTTTAATCTGGGCTCGGCTTGTTGTTGCCTGTGGAACACCAGAAAGTCCTCAAAACTGGAACAACAGAAGCACTTTGTGGATTTTTTCGCACACATGTTCACATTCACAAACATATCTGGACCACTTTCTGGTAATACGCACTGTATTAACTGTAACCGATGGCTTCTTTGTTGGTTAATACATTATTTACTAATGCTTTAAAGATCAATATGCTAGCTAATCATTAAGGACACCTTTAGGGCTGTCAGGTTGTTGAAAGTCCCTCTGCAGTATGACACTTGGTTTGTCATTTTATCCCTTCATCAATAAGACTTACAAACCTTTTGGAAGAGAGCAGCAGGACATTTTGACCACAGTCCATTTATTAACATTTACAACTGCTGACTTGAATGATTGTGTAACATCACTTTATCGACCTAATAATTTAGTAGCATTTATAATTCAATATGACTTAAAGTGAGAGAGCTGTGAGCCTTTTTTTATGAGTTTATTAACATTTACAACTGCAGACTTGATGGTTCATTGTTTCCACTTTTTCTGATGACTAATGCAAAGTTTGACCAGCTGTTGATTTGCATTCAACACTTAAACTGTAGACACTACTGGAAATGCAAAATATTTATGGGAACAGATGTTTTCGTTACATATTCGAGTTAGAAAACTTCCCATTCCATTCTGCTGTTTGACTCGGTTGCACAGTGTGTCCTGTGTGTTTCGAAACACAGTTATAAATGTTAAAATCCATTAATACATAGGGCCTACACATCACAACTGCAACGGCAGGAATTTACCCAACCTGGCAACACAAAAGTTGTTTTTATTAATGGCCCATAACTGATCTATAAAGCATTAGTAAATTATTTATTAGCCATTAATAAGGTGATTAATTGCAGCTTTTAAACCCTTCATAAAGGGTGCTGTATTACAAAATGGTGACAACATATCAAAGGTGCAGTCGTCTGGCAATAACTGTCTTTAGTTGTTTGTGCAGTGCTGCGTGTATACAGGGTTTCCTAGTCTGTAATATCTGAAAACACTCCTAACACACATTTTACTCACTTACATTCACATTTTCACCCAAACTGTAGACCTTTGTGTATTGTTGTGCGTAATGTTACAAGGTGAATTAAGTTGGTTTTCATGAAGAAGATTGTTTTTTACTTTGACCTTATCTGCCAGCAATGTTTAATAAATTATGCAAAAACACGCCCTGTAAACTACTTTTAAAAAAAGGTACTTAAATGGTAAAAGAAACAGAGACAGTTTGCCTGTCTACATGTGTTGTCCATTCCAACAAGCCATTAAGGCAGAAACATCCCATCATCTGGAACATCTAGTCACAGCAGTATGTACTCCCTTCCTTGTGGCCACAGTAGGAAAACACTGTGATAAACAACTTTGGATAGCCTCATGTTTTTTTCTTTGCTTGTTAGTGCAAAATTCATGAGAAACTGTCAAATCTGAAAAGCTTGTCAGCAGTTATTTTCTTAAGTCATTGAAACGGCTTGCTCTGTGTTGCTCACAAGGTAACACAGTTATGCTATGACTATGCTATGCTATGCTTTTATTATTTCATGTCATCCAGATTATGGCACTGACTTAAACTCACAGAGATAAAACCACAAATTCACGACTCAATTACAAAACACTGGAAGAACAAATGCCCAGATTCTTAATTATGTAAGCTGTTATATCTGAGTTTCAGTATATTTTTTTCTCACCTCTTGACTGGAACAATTATAGGCTAAATGCATTTGTTTTTTCCCGGGAGCATTCTCACTTTGAAAAATAATTAATAACACAATCAGAAATGAAGACTGGAAGCCATAATAGTGTTTATTAGAGCAAAGTTTTTATACATTTCAAAACACAAAATGTAAAACTGACCCTAATGGTCCGCAGTCTTAATTATTGAATTCATGAGGGCCAAGACAGGATTAATAAATAATCAGGGTTGTATTAAAAGCCTACTTATTTTCACCTTGGTCTGTTACATGAGCTTTGGGGTGCATGAATTATTCTGTTCTCCCCCCTAAACTGTGATCCATCCAGATTGGGTGGGCAGCAGGATTTGATTAGCTCTCCTCCAGTACTGCTGTGATAGACTCAGAATCCGGAGAGTGATTCAGTCTCAGTAAATGCAGAGTCACACCCTTGTTTAAAAGCCAAATAACAAATAACTCAAAATGAATTGTGCTCTGGTATGTCTTTGGAATAAAAACAGGTAATTACTGGGTGGGGTGTAATGTTGCTCACAGTGGCTAGAAAACTCTTACAGACCAGATGAGATGCTGTTATTTGTTGGTATTCGGCAACCCTGCTCATATTTATGGTTATCTATCTCCTGTTAGGGTGGTGATGCAGTGCCGGCTGAGGGGACCGGGCTAACAGGGCTCCTAATGAAAGCATCGGGAGAGCTGCAACTCAGCACACCACAACACATATGTCTTGGACAGAGTATTTTCAACAATATTCACAGATTCTGCAGATATGACAAGCATTTCATGGTGCGTTTGTTAAGTTCTTCTATAAAATATATATTCAAAGCACCGGTCAAAGATTTAGATGTTTACAAATACATAAAAAAAAAAACCTTGAACAGGTCTCACAATGTGTTCTTCATGATTAATAAATCCAACTGAGCCACTCATCATATTTTAATGTTCAGTTGTAAATTTGGGCTTTCATTATGCATGTGACTGTGAGCCAAACCACACCATTGCAGACGGATTATGATCCAGTTGTCCTAAATAAATATATATATATAGTTTAAGTAATAATAAAAAAGAGCTGTTTGCTTGACCATAAACATTTTCAGTACATGTCTCATGCTGCTAAAGTAGATGAGAAATGTTAACTTGCTTTAACACATCCTACATCAATATACAGATGTACATGCCTCTTCTATTTTTAGTCTTGTGTTCACACCGTCCTTGCATAGACAGGGTGAAAGTGACACGTTTAAGACAGAAAAAAGGACTATAAATCCAATAAATCACTCTGTAAACAAAGCTGGCAGTTAGGCAACACTGTGCTAAGAGCAGATGAAGTTATCCATCTGTGATTGCACCTTACTGTACTCACAGATGGATCAGAAATGTGCTACATGTTACGTAACCCAAACATCAACAAGAAATTAATGAGATGCCACAGTAATGATAGAAAAGTTGGCTGGTGGAGTTACAGTGTATCATTTTTTCTATCTATCTATCTATCTATCTATCTATCTATCTATCTATCTATCTATCTATCTATCTATCTATCTATCTATCTATCTATCTATCTATCTATCTATCTATCTATCTATCTATCTATCTATCTATCTATCTATCTACCTATCTACCTATCACACACACACAAGTTGTCCATACTTTGGGAAGTGGTGGTAGAGGTTACATTAGGAGCCACGTTGGGACAGGCAGTTTGAGCCTCGGGACCGAGCAGCAGAGTTCTGGGCATTGGGCCATAGATCTGTCTGGCCCACTGTCCTGCCTGGCAACACTGCAGCTCTCCACAGATGTAAATGTAACTGGAGGTGGCCTTCACAGCATTAAGCATTGTTTAACACTACAGTAACCTCTCCCGTCTCATGGCTGTGGGCTTTCATTAGTGGTGATGTGTGTGTTTGTATACTACCTTTTTAATGTGTATTGTTTCAGCACGAGCAGCTGACATTTTCTTTAATTATAATCCCTCTTTTGTGCATACGTATTGACAAAATCCAGCAGAGTAACAAGCTGCAAGCTGCAAAAGCCATTCAGCCATTGCAAATAATGCATAGTCTCACCATCACAACTGATTTCTATCAAGTGTGGCATTAGAGATATACCTCCAATCTTTGGCAGCAAACAATGCTTAAGGTCCCTTTACACTGGGCTGTTCCAGATGAAAGTTGACAATGAATGTGATGAAATCTTTTTTTTTTTTACACTATTCACACTGCGATGGTATTAGTGGTAAAGAAGAATGTTATTATTTTACCAGAAAAACTTAAAAGCTATCAGTACAGCAGCACCGGACACACACATACACACACACACATTTCCATGGTCTGCAAATTGCAGCTTGTCTTCAATGTGTCTTGCAGTAATGTGCCACAGTCAGCTTACTCTGCCACCTACTGGTGAGAGCAATACATGTATAAATCTAAAACAAAAAAATTATTTGAGAGTAATACTAAAAAAAATGTTAATTTAAAGGAATTGAAATTAAAAAATAAGATTTTTTTGCAGGTGCCACTTCAATCAAACACATTGGTCAGCACACTGTGAAAGCCCACAGATGGCTGATTTAGAGCTCCAGTGCCCAAAAGCAGGCTGCATCAAAATTCTGATGTAGGACCACAATGTGACTGTCGCTACAACCCACATTTATAAACTAACCAATCAGAATATGACATGAAATGACACAGAATACATTGGTAAGAAAAATCACAAACATATTTACCTTAAACTCACATAGAAAAATGATCATCTCATGATTCAAAGTTGGATGGATTGCGACTGAGACTTTACCCATCTGGCACAGTGTGATATGCAGTGAGGTTGTTGTTTTCACACAGACTATAGGCGCCTTGGTTCCTGAAACAGTTGCTTTAATGTGTGCTACATTGTCTTCTCCACCTTAGTTAAAATACTAATTACATTTTACTGTAAACTGGAATGATTGTTACATACATTAGAAACAGTATTGTTTCAGATGTCACTATTAGCTCTAGTGTTTATGATTCAACACAGGGTTATATATAGTTTATTTATCAAAGCATATGACATTTAATTTGTAATTCACTGCTCTCACCCAGCTTGCAATAAAGAATGTTAAGTCAAGTTTCTTTCTGTTGCCATTCATCACAAGTGTGTCTCAAAGGACTTTACAGGGATTGAGCCTACCAATCAATCACACAGCATTGTGTAAAACAGTAATGCAGCAAAATAAAACACAACCAGTACAAAGCACAGCATACAAAAAACACATGTAGAAGACATAACAAGTGAGGTAAGTGGGAAGATGGTCCCTGTTTGTTGTCTTGAATGCACAGTGTAAGACAAATGTACACAATTTACCATTGCAGAGTTTTTGGCAGCAAGACATACTTCAGTTTGAACAAATGGCCAAGTAAAAAATGGCAAACATTTAGCTGGTTTCAGCTCTCTAAATGTGAGTATTAGCTGCTTTATTCTGTTTTATATCACTGGAAATGAATTGTCTTTGACATCTGTACTGTTGGTCAGACAAATCCAGCACTGCATGTGTCACATTGGGGTCTGGGAGATTGTCATGGGTATTTTTCACAATTCTGTGACATTGTATTCACAAAACAATGAACTGATAGTGAAATAATAATAGTTAGGTCCAGCCCTAGTCAAGACTTAAAATGTTCCACTCAACTAGATCAGTACAATGAATTGAATCATTACAACAGCTGAAAGAATGACATTCATTCAACATTATATTATGAATTAAACATTTTGTATTTCTTGCTATGCTGTCAAATAACCTTATGAAAAGAAGTTTGTGAGCACTAATTAAAATGTTAACCACTAACTCATTTAAATATTAACTCTATTTACATGTCTGTAAGGGTGACCAGATCCCAACAAACATGGGACAATGTGTGGTGAGGTAATCTAAAATGTTGATGTAATGTCTATCTAATTTGAAAAAATAAACATTTATGTTCTGTCTCTTTGCTTGGAACTCCCTAAACTTTGCCCTTTGGTTGATTCAGCAGCACACAATAGACTGTGCAGGTTTGGTTACAGGTTAGACCTTCAGCATGCGAAGGCCTTCAATGCAACTTTCTGAACTCCCACACAAAGTTAAGCTTTGTTTTATGCTTACTGTATTAAGTTTCACAGTTCATATGGTATTGAACAATAGTCTGCGATAATCACCTTCCACCGGCTTCACCCAGTTATAGTTTCCCAGTATTTGTTGTGGCTGCGTTTCCTTTTCTTTGTGGTACTTCGCATCATATTCCACCTAAATCTGCATAGCTTGTTACTTTGTGGTGACTGGCAATTGTCCCCGTTGGGCATAGTGCAGGAAAGTCTGTGAAAGTTTAACCTGCATTTGACCCATGTGTGCGCAGTTTGATTGACATTAAACACAGCCCCTGCTTTCCTCGCAGCCACTGCATAAAAACTAGGTTTTTAGAAAAGCATCTGCCATGCAGTGGTTTGACTTTTGTAAACTAGAGCAGTTTGAAATGTGGAACATTTTGTCTCAAAATGTAGGACTTACGACAAAGGAAAAAAATGCAGTGCAGTCCCACACAATGGAGTCCCTAACAAGGAGACGCCTGGCTACCCCTGTTGCAGATTGCACCACTGTAGACAGCAGCAGGACATTTGTGAAAACTACTAATTAAAATAATTTTAATGAAAAAACAATAATGAAAAATGACACAAACATGAAAATTATAGATAATTACACTAAACCTATTTCTTCAACATTTTTGCTCATGTTCCTGTCATATTACTTTTCTGCAGGCTATTGTTCTTCTGCCCTTACTGTGAGTGTTGGTGCACGCCTATGCAGCAACCCATTGTTTGGTTTGTCCGTTCTGGGCTACTGTAGAAACAAGGCGGTTCAACATGGCGGACTCCATAGAAGGCGACCCACGGTGTCTGTCTATATAAAAAAAACACTAAATCTAAGGTAAAAAAAATACAATTCTTATTTCCAGGTGATTATACACTAATGGAAACATACATATGCATATTATGTTCTATTTCTGCCAACAGATCGGCCTTAATGTTACACACTGGACCTTTAAGTCCCAACAGCAAGTACAACACAGATTAAATTAACTAGTAAACATACACATTAGTGTTCACAAGAGTAAAGAGAAAAATACACAACACTTAGCAGTCAGACTACTTAGAAGGTTGAAATAGCAACAGATTAGCCTCAGACAGCTTGGTTAGCAGTAAACTTATTACAGGTAAACTGAAAATCACAAATCAGCAACCCCAAGACAGCAAGAATAAAAAGAGTACCTACAGATAATCTTTTAATACGGGCATTTGGTGAGTAGATTAAACAAACCTGTTAATATTGGCTTGGTCTGACAGAATATCAGATGAACTGCAACTGCTGAACTGTGTTTCTAGCAAGAGAACGCCCGACTCGAATCAACTGCTTTTAGAAGAATAATACATTCCTCACACAAGTGATGAGACAGGAAATCTAAGCAACGATAATCAAACTAAAATGGTTTGTCTCTTTAAGTGACCAAAAAGCTATGAGGCTAAATTGCTAAAGGATAGTGTGCATTAACATGGAGAAGTTGTTTCACTTTGAATTATATATTCGGGTAATTTTGAGATCTGAGTTGTAAGCTTAAGATTTGCTTTGCTCCTTTCTCACACATCCACCCCCTTCTCTTATGCAAAAGAGGCTGATTCCAACAGTCTTAATGCATTTTAATGTATTAGTACAGCTCCTTGGCCTTAAGAAAATAAATAATGAGAAACCTTGGCTGAAATTATTAACTTCTTACGTTCATGTCTGGTCTGTGCATCATCCCAAAACTGAGCAAGGATCCTGGTAAAACATTAATCAGCAGCCTGGTAACAAAATAGGTAAATTTAGTCAGTGCTCGGAAAGGTTTTTATATAAGTAACCAGTGACTCTAAGGATTTGGGTTTGTGTTCCTTTTTGTCTACTTATAGAATAACTTGACATTTAGGGAAATATCCCTATTCAATTTCTTGCCAAGACTTGGATGAGAAGTTTGACACCACTTTGATGTCTGCTTGTTAAATTTGAAGCTACAGCCAGCAGCACTATCTTAACTTAGCATAAAGACTGAAAACAAGGAGAAACAGCTTGCTTTCTTAAAGGTCCAGTCTGTAACATTTAGGAGCATCTATTAGCAGAAATGGAATATAATATCCACAGGTAGTTGTATAGTTACCTGAAAATAAGAATCATTGTGTTTTTGTTACCTTAAAATGATTTTATCTACAGAGAGAGCGGGTCCTCTTCTTTGGTGTCCGCCATGTTTCTACAGTAGCCCAGAATGGACAAACCAAACACTGGCTATATATAGTGGCTTTCATGTTTTTTGTGAGTTTTGCAGTCACCGTAGTTTCTCCTACACACTAAGACTACATTGTAATCTGCAACTTCACCACTAGATGCCACTAAATCCGACACACTGGTCCTTCAAGGTAACACAATCCACCTACCAGCACTGCTTAAGTTCACTAATTAACATGTTCCATCTTGTTTGTTTAATTAGGAAACTGAAATATCAAGGGGACCCCTATTTCTAGTCTTTATGGTAAGTTAACAGTCTCCTGGCTGTAGCTTAACATTTAACGGACAGATATGACATGGGGCAAAAATCAAAAAAGACATTTCCCAAAATATTGAAATACTCTTTTAATAAATTATTTCCATAATCAGTATACATTGCACCCTTAAAGACAGTGAGCTTTCAAACTTCCCATTTTACTTTTGGAATTGCCACTTCTGCCCTCTGAGATATGCTTTTTTTCCCCCTTCCTCTCCTTTATCCATTGCCACAGTTTATCTAGGATGAGAATGTTGCCTACCATACATTGTGTGAATGTAATCCAATTCAGAGAAATGTTTGCAGCTGAAGCCAAGAGCCATTGTTATACATTGAGACAGCCTATCTGGAAAAAAACACCAAACCGCCTTTACAATCACAGCGTGCAGGATAAGTCATGTTTGGTTTTAATCCTCAGAAGCAGCTGCTTTCAGAACACAACTACAATGCATTTTATAGCAGATGAACCTGTATCGTGTGGGAGAGAAGGCAGCCTAAGATGAACCCACAAAAATATTTACACATGAAAATTATGTTTATTCAACAGGATTATCAATGGCCAGCAATAAAAAAAAATAAAGCCTTTGAGGTTATATTAGCAAAATATACAAAGATTTAGCCACTGTCAGAATGCAAATGTATGTGCAGTAGCATCGCATAATCTTGCAAAGATGTATCTTTGTGGTCACAAAGAAAATGTTAAAATAGAGTTATGCCTTGGTCTGAACACGCAAAAAGTACATTGAGCATTCAAGCTTATCTTAATTGCTTTTGCTCATGATATTCCTCACCAGTCCATCAAAACTAAACTGCCTTTACAGTTTCAGTGTTAAGGATAACTTTGTGTTTTTACCACAGCTGCTTCTATGAGGATTAAAAACAGCTAAAATGTGTTGGGTATACACTGGATAAACCTGAAAAATGTCTGAGACAGAAAGCTGTAAGATATTTACTCATGAAAATATTTATTCATCTTTATTATTAATAGCCAACAGCAACAGAAAAAAACAACCCTCTGATCTCTGGCTTTTACTGGTCCCTCAAAGGATTTAAAGAGAGCTCTAACTGGCTGTCACCTAACACTATTGGGGGTAAGCATCCATGTGTGTATCCTTAAAAGTTGGATGATGACAAATAAATAATGTATGAAATGATGGAAAGCCTAAAAACTCAATCTGGGCTTCTGTTAGTGGGCCTTATGTGATGTGTGTTTCTATTTGTATTGATATTTCAGTATGTCTATCTCAAGTGACCATCAAGTAAAATAAAAAAATAACGTTATATTTATATTTTTTTTATATTTATATAATATAAATAAAGTTTCTTCTTTCATGTATTCAGGTAAAAGTAATATTGTACGATTAAATATTAATTAGTAAACTGTTGATGTAATATATTAATTTCTTTTACAAACAGTCAGTGTATCATTTTTCATTTTCTGATCAAATATCAAACAGTTAATTGCTCCGTAAGACTCTCTCAGATCACCATATGCTTTGATATTTTGATTTAGACTGATGGCTTTATTATCTGTGTGTTTTGTTATAGGCTAGTGTATGTTTTCAAACTCTAATTAGCCCAGCTGTTCTTTTGTCTAGTATTAATAGAAGCTGGGTTACATTTATACATTCACCAGCTTGTGTTCAGCAATAAGCATAAATTGTAAAAAAAAAAACAACAACAACATAATAATAATAAAATCTGGCTTTAATACCAGCTTCATTAAATGACATGCTGTAATGCAGTACTTACTGCATAACATCAAGTTGTTATGCATTCACGTCAGATTCTAAACATGCATTTATAAAACGTTTCCACCACTGTAGCAAGTTTCCATCCGACTGAACATAGACAAGACTGTCCAATGTTCCCACTCCTCTTTCTGCATGGTATGCAGCTGCTCACCACTCACAGTCAATCAGTGTTTTAAAAGGAAAATCAGATGCAACTTTTCATTGAGTCGGTTGGTGGATGATACCACTCTTTCTCAAATGGCTCGGCTCAGAATGCTGTTGAAATTTAAACATGCTTTAAGTTTTTATTGTTTGTCTAAACCTAAATTACTACTTGGCTTTAAATACTATAACCCATGTCTGCAATATACACCCTCAAATTTAATATACCTAGTAATTAAAATGACTTAGAAAAACAATTCTAGGTATTCATTTAATATTGGGTTTGGGTTTTAAAAAACAAGATATAATGCGATGAGCTGGTGGGTGGGTCTTTTGTTTTTTGGGGTGGGATTGGCCTTTTGGGAATATCAAACACAAGAAGCTGTAAACACAGCATTGACATTTTCTCACCTCAGAAGGTTGTTATGATGGTACGTGGTTACAAGCAATTGCTTTTTAACTAATCCAACAGACACGGTGCAATATTATTGTTTATTTGGCATTTTGTGTCTGTCCACATGAAGTCCAATATTCACTCTCTTTTAGCTCTGTTTTTGGTCTCCACCGACTCCTGAGGGAAATATCTGGCTCTCTAGTGGCGAAATGCTTCATTATGTTCACCAGCTAGTTGCTAGCTTTACCTTCCGTTAGGTGCTGAATGTGCAGTGTACCACAGGATTATCTGAGGCTTTTTTTTTTTTGCAGACAACAGCTTCCTGCTGTGGCTGAAAACAAGGTAGATGAGAGCGGTAAGAGTGAACCAAAACACGAACGTTATGGAGCGTAAAACCAAAACAACCAAATATTAAGGAATAACTGCAGAGTCAGCTAATAAAAACTGTAAAAATAAAGTAATTTCCAGGCTTATAAATGTAAATATTCACATCAATAAACATGCTTTATTAGATATCATTCCTATGTTGTGTTGTTGTTGTTTGTTGTTACTCACTTATGTTCTGCTGTGAAGAACTTTAGCTATTTTTGTTTTGTTATTGTGATTAAAATTATTACACTCCATCTTATTCCAAACCATTTGGAAAGCACATTCAAACACTGCATTTCTCCCAGAATTAATTAAACAGAGATAGTGCACAAGTTTTAACTCAAAATTGAATGTAACCTTTAGACTTAAATGTCACATCCATGTTTACCTTCTTTCAGTTGCAGTTGCGAAACAAGCCAGACATGCTGGACTTAGAAAGGGATAGTTTGTTATCTTCTGCTCTGCAACATCTTGAATGGAGATTGGTAAAGAGTAAACAATGGCTTTCTCCCATTGACCAAACCCTCCTCCAATTACCTCCTTGTCTCTCCTTTCCTCTATTCTCATTTGTTACATCCTCTGTGACCTTTCTATTGGATGTGGCAGCAGTCAAACGTCAGTGTGAGCATATCATTGATAGAGGGATGGAGGTCATTACCAGCAGTTGTCTTGGAGAAGGCTTTAATCCCTCAGAAAGCTAAAGCTAAAGCCAGAGCTCGGCTGCTGGAGTTGGCTTAATTACTGACCGAGTCTAATTGGCTCCGTGTATGAGCTATGATGAAAGCAGGATGTGACACTTAAGGCTAGACTTCCTCTGCTGTCTGCCCTTTGTGTCAGTCCCATTAACCTTTCCCTTCCACCTTCTCCTCTGCCTTTTTATGTTCAATTTAAGGCACTATTTAAATGAGCTGGAGTAGAAAGACTAAGAGGTTTGTCATGGGTTTAATAATTGCATGTTAAATTACTATTACAGGCCGACTTAGCATCTAAGAGGTGAAGATCTCCTATGCTGGTCATTTTTATTTAGCTGCTTAATGTTTAGCTGTCTGAAATACGTCCATGCTTGTTTGTGGGTGTGTGAGAGATTCTATCACTTTCAAGTGTAGGCCCTGTATTGAATATAGGCTCAATTATTTGCTGTATGTCAGCAAAATGGTTAAAAAAAAAAAAAAAAAATTCCAATAATTACATTGTACATTCAAAAGGAACAATATTTCAATAGGGAGCTAAAATCTGCAAAGTAAAGCTGTGCTCAGTGGTTGCCCTTTGGGATATTGTGAGCTTTGGAGTGTATTGTCAGTACTGTGTAATTAATCATACTACCTAACTGCATTCACAGGGTCCCCTTTGGTTAATTGGACTGCAGTTGCAGAATGGACTAAGCGATGATTTATTCAGCAGGCAGGTGGAACGCTGCCCTGCATCCCCCCACCCCCCGTCTCCTACCAGGTACCAAGAATGGATGGCTCACTCCTGCACCCAGCTACTCTCTGCACTCCCCCATCCCTCAGGCCAATCGACTCTGAGGGCACATTTACAAGACGGGCTTCAGGGTGACAAAATGAAAAGAGGAAGGGTACAGTGGAATCAATTTTCCCTCTTTTCTCCGTATGCAAGACTTATACTGGTAAGAGCAGGACAACAGATAACAATATTGAGCATCTGTAGAAAGTTTAACAAGTGAACTTCCTCACAGTGCCTGTTGGCAAGTAAAAACAAACAACAGAGCCAGCCAAAGGTGAAGCCCCTTGACATTTGCTGCCCTCCCTACTTCATGGGTCTTTGTTTCATTTACTGGCCGTGCTGTGAGGCAGACTGGTGGTAACTATATCATTTCAGGCTTGTTGGCAAGCCGAGCCACTGTGCCAAGCTTTGTTACACTGTTTTATCGGAGGTTAGAAATATTTGGTCCCACACAGTGGAGTAAAGTAAGTGTGTGTGTGTGTGTGTGTGTGTGTGTGTGTGTGTGTGTGTGTGTGTGTGTGTGTGGGTGGTTCAAACAAACATGTCCTTTATAGGTGGAGTAACCAACTGTGAAGAGTCTTAATTGAATCATTTAGATTACCTAAAGCAATAGACAAAAGCACTTGACATTAAGGTTTAAACACTCAAACTCATTTTAAATTCAACATGGAGTTTAAAGGTGTATTCCCGTAGATGAGAGTAAAGTGTGTAATTATTGTTCATATGATGATAAGCATCTATCATGTAGTGCATTGTGTGGACAATAATTTAACAGGGAAAGGAATAAGAACAAGGCAATCTGCCATTAGTGACATTTCACAGATAATCAGTCAGATTGGAGAATGGACCCTATAATCTGTAGTAGCAGGGCCCATACATCAACATTAGGATTACTCCTTCTCTTGCTGTAGTTTGTTTCAGTGCTGCTGGCGTACCATTACCCTGAGATAACCACACTTTAATAGTTAATGCAGCTGTGGGGCCCCCTCTGCATTACAAATGGGCCCATCCGTCTCACCTAGACCCCCGTGGGTGGCAGCACCGCAGTCCATCTTCAGCAACTCTAATCATTCATCAATAGGCAGCTATCTGACACCAGCTTACACAGGATACCAAACACTGTGATGTGGTCAAGGCCAGAGACGGACATCCTGATGTCAGAGAGGGGATCTGTTAACTGATATTACTCCAGACACCAGTATGGGACTTCCCAGTTACAACAGCTGGATTGCAGGCTCCAAGTACAATCCGCTTATCTAAAAGCTGCACTTTACCTCTTTTATAACCTGTCTAGACATTGAAAAAGAACAAAGACACTGACATGTTATTTACCAGATGAATGCATCATATGGTTTAGAGGGGGGCTCCAAGGATTTTATACATCAAAGTATGTTTACGAGTACTAGTGAATATATGGAAAAAGTTGTAGAGCCTTTCGTGGCTCCAGAGGGAGCTTATAAATTGCCACCTGAGGCAGTGTCGGTTGGGGCCGAAGACTACGAGGCTGAAAATGAAAAAAATCTGGGAGTATGGAGTTAGAAATAAGTGAACTTACCTGACTTCTGTAGCCCACTCCTCATCCCTGCTTAAGGCCAGCAGCTTGAGACTACATTAGCAGCTACTAGCATGGCACACTCGAATCTCTGACCGAACTGCTGGCAGTCAAATAGCATTCTGGATAATGTAGACAACAGGTTTTAACAAGGAAGAAGGATGCATGGAAAAAAAAGACAATATATCTGATTCTGCTGCATCCGTTTAACTTTCCAACAACGTTATAGCAGTGAAATGCTAAATCGTTACTCTTTAAACTAAATATTCAAAGGGGCACTTCACCAATTTTACATGATGTTCAGTTCATTTGTCAGAAGGAGTACTACTCAGCTGTTGTATGATGTCTTCTGTGGCTCAGGACGAAGAAGAAGTTTTCTGAAGTCTAAAATGAATAACCCTGATGATTTCGACAGTGAATAAGGCCATGGAGTTGCATCATGGGAAGTGGATCGATGGTCTTTGGAGCCTCATTTTTGACCATTCATTTTTAAATCTGTCTCCTGTGAGTCCTCAAACTTTATGGAAGTGAAACAGTAAATCGCTGCAGGACCCTCTTTAAGTCTTTAAAGTATGGTGTGGAAAACAAGGTAAGCTGAACATATTTCCTTTTAAGTTTTGGTGATATTCTTAAAATGTCACTGTCCACTATCTGTTCGCACAACAATTCTGTTTACTCTGGTGGAGAGGCAAGGGCGCCCTCTTTCCAATTTGCCTGACAGTGGAATGCCAGTCGAAATGCAATCAATAAGACAAAGCTGAAGTGACTCAGCTCTGCAGCTGAGCCTAGCACCTGTTTTGTAGAAGAGTTTGTAAACCTTTTATCCCCAACTGTAAAGCCCCGGCTCTTATTTGTTGTTGTGGTCATCACATCGGCACTCTGCTGAGAGAATCTGCTCTCCATTCCCAGTGGAAATAAAAAACAGTGATAAAACTGAACACAGATCGCCTCTATAAGTAACCGGCACAGATGCAGCCCAGGCCAGCCACTTTCTCCGGAGACTGCAGCTGCCAACCAGGGATGTGACAGGCCCAAAATGGGCAGGCGGGGCCCTTCCCTTTTGATCAATCAGGTAAGACAGAGAGGGGTAGTGTGAATTCTAAAACTCCAGATGCACTGTCACCAAGGTGACTCTCATCTGTTTCCCCTCCCAACAGCTCTGAACACACGCTCATCTGTCAGAATGACAGAGCTCCTTTGTTTTCTCTACTTAAGTTGGATTTAGACCTGAGGGTCAGTTGAATTAAGTAGTAACTTAATTCAGCTGCCTCTGATTGTCATTTCAAGAGGGCAGGCTTTATATCACGCTGCATGTGGAATTAATGAGTAAAATGGCGGCTTACCTGCAAAACTGTTCCTTGGATAACCTTAATTGATGAACACCTTTTAAAATCAGCAAATTCCTAGGGCTGTGGATTGTTTTGAGTGGGTGGATTGTCTTGGAAGCACATTGCCACAGTGATATCTACATGACTGCGTTATCAATTCATGTTTACTACATCGCCTTTTTTTCTCAGTGACAGCAAACTTGCTACACCTCCGATTCAGGTGAGGAATCAGTGCTGAGCAGATTTCCTCAGGGTAAGACTACCCTCTGCTGGGCATAATCACTAATGTGCTTGCCTGCCAGGAGACATCTTTGACAACCAGAGCTGAGGTGTCTTTTGTCACTGAGACATCTGGAGGGGTATGAACATCAACACAACAACACTTCAGCAGAGACGGATGTCTCCAGAGAAAATCTGTTCATGGTGGGTGATGGTGGAACGACAAGAAGAGGCACTACTTGTTTTTTTTTTCCTCCTCTGACATGTAAATAGGCAGTTAGAAATGTTTTAAGGGAAAGTATCTTTTCCCTCACCATTCAAGTACTGTTAAAGTATCACCACAAGATGGTGTTATTTCTCAAAGATGTCACATGGTGTTGGCCTGCAAAATCTAATCTGCGTCTGCCACCTATTGGTAAAGAGAGCAGACTATCCTGTATGTAACCATGCTTACAGATACTTCCTCTACAGCTACAGGTACCTAAATAATTCAACTTGAGGACATGAAGCAAAACAAAACAAAACAAAAATAGACCTTGATTTATTGACACACTAACAAAATATAACAGGGTTTGAAAGTATACATATTAAATATTACATAATTTAAGTTATTGCAGTAAAGACTGGCCATCAGCTTGGGGAGTGCTGCTCTCTCTGGCCTCCCTGTACAGACACCAAGCAAGAAAAACTTGCCTCCAGCCATGAATAGATTTAATGGTAATAATGTTTAAAGTGCTAAATGTGTTGTATGTTTTGAGTATTTTGTAATGTAGAAGCTCCAGTGTATGCATAATTAAATAATGATAATAATATATATGATTGATTGGACTGGATGTGATTAAAACGTTTTCATGAATTAGAATAAGAAACTAAGCTGAAGTATATATTTAGTATCTGAGCTATTGGTTCTAGTAGAAAAACTAATTTTTAAAAATGAAAATAAAACAAAAAGTAAGACTATTGACATGGTTAAGACAAGTTGTTGCCAAAGGAAGTTTCAAATATGGCACTGTTTTCACCCTTAAAAATTTCAAAAGCTTGAGTCACAGTATGACTGATGCACCCACTGGATCTCGGTCCAAAAATCTCAGGATGTGGATATGAAACTATTTGAAAGGGAGAGTGGAGCGTTGACTCAGTGACCGATGTACGGAGGTGAAATTAGGTAGTGTAAGAACTCCTATTATCCCCTGCTTATAGGAGTATCACATAAATACAGTGCTGTGTTCACTAAACAAGCAGCACGCGCTACTTCCTGTGTTTGTGTGAGTCAGATACTACTCATGAGCTGACTAAATCAGCCGGGCCCCATCCCCCGCCCACTAACCTCCGTCCACCCCCTCACAGAAGTATAAAAGACACCCACACACATATTCCCATCTCCGCCCACCTTGCCTTTCAACTGCTCCTCCCACACTTTTCCTCTTCCCTCCCGGTGGATTTTCTCTCCCTGTCCCTCTCTCTCCTGCTCCTGTCACCCCCCCCCCGTCTCCTCCTTTAGAGGACAAGAGGGAGGATGTGAGTGGCGTGTGTGTATGAGTGCGTTAGTCATGTTCAGGCTCATCCAGGGCAAACAGCAGCACAAGCAAGTGGGGAAACCCAGGCACAGGCAGGAATAGGATGTTTTGTCCACATCTGTTAGTTGGTTTGGCTGCAGCACTTTTGTGGTTTACACAGTGCCTAAAAATGGATTGCTAGAATGAGCTACAGAGCATGCTGGAGGCAAAGACGGATGAGCATATAGGAGGAGGGGAAAAAAAGGGCAGGAGGACATAGGTGGGGGGAGGGGTAAGCATGCCAAAGTGGGCCAAGACCCCCCCAGTGGTTAATAGGATTCTGTCTGCCCTGAGCTGGGCTTGAGTTCACGAGCCAGGAGACGGCTCTGAAGAGGGCGTCTGATGTGGAAGTGTTTGTCTCTTGTAAGATTTGATTAGCATTTAAATTCAAACTGACTCACCCGTTTGTTCTGTGGTTTTCTTGAGCCGTAGGTCAAGATCTGGTCACTCCGGTACAGAAAACATTTATTCATTAGTCTGTGATAAGGGACGGTGTTCTTGATTTAGCATGACTTCAGTTCAAATGTACTAACTGATGTAAACGTTTTTTCATGATCCTGATATGAAAGATTTCAGAATAAATCTCATTCCTCAAAATCCTAAAGCCAAGAATAGTTGGAGTATTGACGGAGAATGGAATTTCATGAAAATGTTGACTTTATTTTAAATTTCCGATAAGACGACTAATCAAAATAAGTCCTTGAAAGCGACAGAACAAAAGTGGCTTGTATTGAAATTGCTGACATGACCTTTATCTGTGCAGTGAAGATAGTCAGTTATTTGCTGGTTGGGGATCATCAACATTAAGCAAAAGAAACAAAACAAGCATAAAAATGATAAACTGCTCTAAGAGAGCACTACATTACAAAATTATGCTCTGAAATTATATTCTCTTGATATATGACAGTGTTCTGCTCTGTTATCAGTTTCCAGTGTCTGCACTGATTTTGCAACATTTGTAACCTACTTTTTTGCTTCATATCTAAATGTGAAACGCTAACATTTGTTTTTTATTATCTCCGATCAGTCACATTATCCAGTCCCCTCATCGGTCTCCAGGTGGTGCCAGTGGTTGAGAAGGACAACATTCCTCACACCAATACACACACACACACACACACACAGAGTGGACCTATTTCCCTGTCTCCATCCACATACTGAGGGGCTGGGTATATGGCAGAGATGTGTGAGGGTATGGGGGATGGGGCTGAAGTAGTTGTGGAAGATAGAGAGGAAGGAAGTGAATAGAGTGAGAAATGGGGAGGGAAGGGGGTGGCATGCAAGGCAAGCACATGCTGAGCGAAACATTGGACTCATTGAGAAAAGCGCTCTCTCCATTCATGCCCTATCAAATCCCCTTTTCACCCAAACTCTCACTCTTCTCATCATGTACGTACAGTGTATCGATATCTGTCCGCTATCTGCAGATAACAAAGGTTCTGGGGTGACAAAGTAATTTAATGTGTTTGTTTGTATCAAGTTATTTGAGGTAAATCCTGACAAAACAAATGGAGAGGCAAATGGCCAGTTTCAACCACTTTAAAGTTACTCTACAACCTCAGTATCTGTTTTCAATTGAAGACCCATCAACTCCAGATGGGCAGTTCATTTACATCAGAAACCACCGTATGAAAGTACTAGTAGGTGGTTTGATTAGAGCACAGTGTGGAGTGTCTCGATATTACATCGCCCTGTCTCCTCTGCATCCACCACACCCCTCAGATGTCATCAGATGTTTGTGTATTTCAAATGCAAAATGGTCAGATCAACACATGAAGGTTCCACCTACGTTTATATGAATGAAAAGTAGCTGTTTTTACTTATTAAATGACCCGGAGCCAGAACTAGGAATACGAATATGTCATATGATATAGGGACTCATACATTTTCTTACTCAAGGGTAGAAATAACTTTATACTTGCATATAATGTTACAGTTGGGTAATTGAGTGGCTTTTTCATAAATTTTAATTAACTTCTACTGAAATGATGTGACTACACGTTGGTATTGTCAGCTCTCCAGTGGCAACTGACATTAAACAACCTTTTTTTACATTTTATTTAATATAATTTGTAATGTAAGTTTATTGAACTCTGTCCTCTCCTCTCAACTTTTCAGAGCCATGCAAATTTCATTCATAATGTTCTACTTTACCTATCACAGAGTACCTTTTAAAATATGTTTTTTTTTTATTTTATTTAACCTTTATTCAACTTGGAAAGCCTCACTGAGATAAAAAAAAAAAAAAAGTGTTTCAGAAGTGGTCTGGCCAAGATAAGGCAGAAGTAACGGTGAAATAACATCTGACAGAAAACACAAAATGTGCCACAATTTAGAATTAGACAGATATATGAATATAGAATAACACATTTTTAAAAATCTAATAAAATCAGGTAAAACATTTCTTTCTAGAAGCAATCTACATAAAACAATCAAAGAACTGTATAAAACTATAACAATAAATAAAACCAGTCTAAAATAATAATCACAGTAACTGGTTCCCAACCCGGGGTTAAGATAAGTATAACAGGTTGTGAGACAATTCATAAGACAGGAAAGCAAATAAAAACTAACCTTTGTGATGGAAAACTTTGATGAAGATGAACCACTCGTGCTCAAAGAAGAGACCTTGATGACTGTGGCTCGGCCGACGAGAATAAGATCAGCAACACAATGATGCAATTCCAACCCGATTCTGAAGGTTATCTCCTGTCGAGGGGCATTTAACACAAACCCTGACTCATGAGAATTACTACTGTCCCAAATATGGTCATAACTCACGTAGCTACGTACATACGCGTGAAGATACAATTGGGTAGTGGTTCAAAACAAACTCTTAAGAACTGTCTATTAGATTGTTCTTAACTTTGGTCTTTCATAACAAAGTGGAACTACAATACGTTGCTCAGTCTTCAACCTTATCGGCTGCTCTGCATAGTCTAGTCAGCCAAAACAATCAGAGAGGAGGCCAAATTAACAAAGAAGTTTTGTACACAACTTCCCAGTAACAAGGGGGGGCCCTGCAGTCTAATGTTTCCCTAATCTTTGCTTTTATTCCCAACAATATTTCCTCTTTAGGCTTCTAAAACTAACTGCAGAAAGTTTCAGGCAGAGGGAGCAGCATAGATATATACGTATATAAACAGTAAAAATAGAAACCTTTACGGTAAACTTATGGGGAACTGTTAATAAAAATTAGCCCTGGGAGTGAAAAGCATGGCTGGTCACACCTTTTAGTTGAATAAAATTGCAAAGATAAGGTGGCTGTAACCCGACAACGGCTTTATATACCTAATTAAAGTTTATTTTAAATTAATAAAAAAACCAATAAAGCTAAAAATAGTAAGAAATTATGACAGTATTTTTAAAACCCTGCCTTAACATGTTTTAAACACAGTTTTATTTGCACACTGATGTTTACCCACCTTAAGTTTGGCATTAATTTCAATACATTTGTCATATGTATCTATAGAAATCCCAACAGAAGAGTAGTGAAATAATTAAAGCTTTGAGGTATTTTCATTTGATGCTATTTCTACTGCACTACATTTCAGAGAGAAACTACATTTATCCGACAGCTATATTTGCTCACTTTACAAATTTAGACTGTAGATACATATATACATAGTTTATAAAACATTATGCTTTATTATAGATTAAACTGGCAAACATATGAAGTAGATTTAAATTAGCTCACACTAGAAACAAATACAACAGTAGAATCCTTGTTACATAATCCAATAATGTATAATATAATAATATATGTAATATTATAATAGAATAACACGTCCACGGGCCATTTTTCAGCATTAAATACACTAACTGTATAGTTAGGCAGTATACTTTTCTGACGTATATCAGTTTTACCTTGTGGTCTTGCTCCTTTTACTCAAGTAAAAGACAGCAAACACTTCTCCCACCTCTGTAGAAGATAATGTTTTAGGAGGGAGATAACAAGAGATGCCATTCTGAGCTTGAAACCGGCTTGTGTTTACATTGGGGGAGGTCATAGTTCACTCACCCTCACTGTGGGAGCCTGTGGTATGTCCTGTCCGAGCAGATGCATAATACAACATCAGATACTATTTAGTTGAATAACAACACTTTGTTCTGATGCTGAAAGTATATCCTGCAACTTTATAACACATGCTTTTTTGGTTTGTGATCAAACCTGGAGGATATGAGAAGGAGGTGGAGGAGGAGGAGGAGGACGTGGAGGTGGAGGAGGAGGGGGTTGAGCTCTTCTAGTACTGATGGTGGCCCATTTATCATATCTCCGCCCTCCCCTGTTTCAGCTCCCATGAGGGCGGCTCTTTAAATTGCCCCAAAACTGCTCCTGGCTGGCGCCTTTTCCCCCCTTTATCTGCAGGAGACAAGACACACGTGCTATTAATAGGACGTCGTAGGATCAAACTTCTCAACCTGCTGGTAAATAACCCAAATGCTTGATTCTAGTTTTTTTTCCTTCTTCTTCTTCTTTTAAATCTATCTTCTTCCCTTTTCCAATTCATAACTGTTTCTTTTTTTTTCTTAAACGCGGCATGAGCTGGGATTTGGAAGGGGCGGGCTTTTCTCTGACGAATAAAAGCTGTAGCCTATAGATCGGCACAAGGCTTTTAACCGGGTACAACCAGCCAGGCTTAAAGGAAACATTTCGTCTTAAATTTAGAGCAGAGGTTATAACCGAGCGATAGAGGTGAGTGCAAGAAAACGACGACGGTGGGCGAGTGAAAACTTTTGCATGCTCGGTAAGCCAGAAGCGGGTTTTGTTAATGCATTTTACAGAGCTCCGGCGAGAGGAGGCTGCACGCTTTAAATGTGAAGCCCGTCTTTTGTTGCTTTGGCCCGGGCTGTCGCTGCCGCTGCTGCCGCTGCCGCTGCTGCTGCTAACGAACCCAACCACCTCGCTCACATTGCAATTTTTTTCCCTTTTTTTAAGAAAAGAAATACGAGTATCCATGCAGGCTACGTTTAGCCTGCAAATCCCACCGAGCACACACCAGCCATTGTATGTGTATGTGTCTGTGTGTGTCTGTATATGTGTGTGTCGGTGGTGAGCTCTCCACGGCCCCGGCGTGCAGACATGCTGTGAGATAGTTTCATGCAAGCAAGGCCCGATTATTTGGCCACAACAACTACAGCAAAGCCTCTAACGTTGAACACTGTGGGCCGTGGCCGTGGGGTTTGATAACGCTAGGGCTTTTTTAGCAGGATTTTGTGCGGCCCACGACCGCCTACGGAGTCCCAGCAGTATCATACGAGCCGGTTTTGATGTCAATCCCTTGTTTGCGAGACACCGTCGGCTGTGTAATGGAGTAACGAGACAGAAATAGATCTGGAAATAAATGCGGATTAATTGAGTTAACCGCGTTACCGGTGCGCGGTTAGCCCGGTCATTTGTGGTGTGTTGTTGCGGTCAGTGCGTTTAATTGCCCTGGTATTTTTCTGTGCTGCATCCATCTATGTATATGTGTGTGTGTGTGTGTGTGTGTGTGTATGTGTGAACTCGACGCCTTGTCTTGCACCAAGCCTGACCGGTGTGCTTTCTGTATTATTCTTATTCCACAGGTTTGAAAAGCTAAGCAAACATGAGCGACAAGGGGACAGTCTCACCGAAGGAGAAGGAGGCAACAGAGAAGAGGGGGCGTGGAAGACCCCGTAAGCAGCCCCAGGTAAAAACCTCTGACGTAAGTAGTGCCCACTTTTGTCATCGTTTCATGTTTGCATGCCATGAGAATATGCATGAAGAGTAGGGAGGACTTTCGAGGTGTGAAACCCAGATTTAAAAACAAAGACACAAAGCAAGCCTTTTTTAAAATATTTTTTAAAAGCCCATATCTGTTCGGGTTGATGCTCAGGTTGATAATATTGCAGGTGAGGTGCTCATGCATATCCATGTCATAAGCCCTCTGTGGATCAAGATATGGCTGCAGCGAGCCCTTGTGACCATTTGCTCACCCCCCTTATCTGTGTAAATGTAGTAACCCTACAACAAACTTCCTGTGCATCTCACTTGTTTTGTAAGCAACCTGTAACCCTACACCTTTAAACTGTTTTTAACCCCCCCACCCTCCCATCTTCACGGCCCACCTCTGCTCGTCATGTAATGGATGACATAGCAGAGTGGAAACACAGAGTGGCTCATATAGCTGTCACTCAGCGTTGCATGTTTTAGTATTGAATTGCTCGGTTGCTACGAGCTGCGGTTGTAAACATTCTAGAAATGCAACAGGAGACACGTCTGCCATGACATAGCTCGCCACTACAAATTATCACATGAACAAGATACCTCGTGCAGAATTTACCTTTTGCATTGTGGACTTTGTGGTAATCCCCTAAGTGTTGACTCAGATATTCCCCTTTCTACACCTCAGTGTTTTTTGCATTTAGGTTTCTAAATGGCATGTTTTTAGTCACGGTGCTATTTGTGATCTTTTTTGTTTTTTACGAACAGCTTAGTTGCGAGTTTGAGTCAACCGTTTGTTTCCCTGTCAGACCATGGCCACCTGTGGCTTTGACCACCTGTCAGTCTTTTAAAGTCGTTGCACCGACCTTGAATTATGAACTTTGTCTATGAGAGTCTTGCATGTAAAAGTGTATCCATGCTTTTTTCTACAAACACTCTTGTCTAATAATATAGTGTACGCTGAAGAAAGGTGTTCATGTAATAATACATTGCTCTGCTGTTTTTGGTGTATTAATTCAACTGTCTTGATTGTCAGGAACCAAGTGGGTCCCCTACTCCAAAGAGGCCCAGAGGACGGCCGAAGGGCAGCAAAAACAAGACAGCCAGCAAGGGCAAAGTAAGTCAATGCTGTCTGCAGTCATGTTTTTACATGGCGACAAGTCATGATTTCAGCAGCAGCTAACATGCATCCTGAACCGGAATGGCAGCCGTGCCAAGAAAGACAGGCGCAGCTCCACAATGAAGATGCACGCGGCATGTTCTCTCGCAAGCATTTCCCCTTTTCTAACCCTGATGAACATTGTAACGGTAGCTAACCTCATCCTCTTAAAAGGACGTCCTGCTGTTACTTGTGATATATTGGTTGGCTGCAATTTAGCTGCTTCCCCTGCTGGTGTCAGAAATAGCCTGGCTAGGCTTTCCCATTGTAAAGACCTTGGTTTACTGCCTTACTTTTTCTTTCTTTTCTTTTTTTTTTTTTTTTTTTGAGTGATGCTCACTTCCTGTCCTCCAGCCTCCTGCAGCTTGTCATGCACAGTGCGGTGCAGGTGCAGAGGCCGCAAGACTGTTTCCAAGCTGACACTAAGCACCCCTCCGCCCCCACCCAGCACACAGCCCTAGTTCTTCTCTGCCTGTCGTCTCCATAGCAACAACTGATTTTCTCCCTCGCCCCAACCCTCCAGCTCCCCCGTGCGCTCTGTCTTCGCTGCTATGTATGGGAAAGAGGGAGAGACTGAAACGCGCATACATGTATGATATAGGTTTAGCAGCGAGGGCCAAGCTGCAGAGGGTTTGTGTCTCCGCTCAGTTCCACCAGCTGTCTCTGAGCCTCAGACCAGGTGGCCAGCGAACTGGAGTGCCCTGTGTGCAGTTCCTGTCGGCCTTCCAGATAATAGCCAATGAACCCAATGCCCCCTTTCCATCTGTCTGATAACAGAGGTAATACTGCCATCTGCAGGCAACTAGAGGCAGAGCTCTGTGCAGATATGGATTGTTTATACTGCAAGTTTTTTTTTTTTTTTTTTTTTCTGCAGTGATTTCCCCCAAAAAGTGTTGGCTTTTTGCTGAGAAAATCAGCAGGCCACTGAGCATGAAAATCACAACCAAATGCATTGCCGTGCCCCGCCCATCGCTCCCTTTTTATTTTTTTTCTAACCTTGCACTGTTTTCTTTCACAGAAGGCAACGGCAGCCCCATCTGCAGGGGGAAAGCGCAGGGGAAGACCTAAGAAGGAGGTAAGAGTCCCTGGACAAACAGTGCAGCATCAGTGCTCGCATTTGTTTAAACCATTCATCCCCCCCAATTGAATTATGATTGGTATGACTGTCTGCAGGGCGCAATTGCATTTTCCTAATTCCCTTGCCTTCCTCCTTCCTCTCAGACGAGTCATTTTTACTCATCACTGCTATTTCGGTTCTCGTGTGTTCATTTAGAGCAGCTTCTTGGTCTGTAACGTCTCTTGGCACTAAGACCTAATGCAAAGGCAGATCTGAACCTGCATGACAAGTTTCTCCAGGAAAGTGTTCCTAGTAGTGTTAACTGACAGCATGGCTTTTCTCCCCCTTTTTTTTTTTTTTTGCGACGGCAAAATGAGTAGCCAGACTTTGTACAGTCGGTCAAAAAAGCATGTTTAATCTAGGAAAAAATTGCGGTCTTGTAGTAACATTCTGTCATGTGCATGAGTGGTTAGGGCGTACTCTGAAAGAAGTCTGGATTGAATTAGTCACAGAATGGAATGACCCAAAGTTACCCTCCTAACTATCCCTCTCATTTTTATGAATGAACATCTTGGGCTTGTAGAGAGTGTGAGGAGGAAAAGCAAGAGCAGAAGCAGGATGCCTCATTGTGACTCACCGCTCCTTTATGATTCACTTTTCACTACAGATGGCTCACCCTTCCCTTGGGTGTTCTTCGTGCCGCAGTGGTTTATCAAAGAGATTTATAATAACATTTAAGGGTGTGTTTTTTTTTTTCATGCTGGTACTTGAGGCTATGACAAGTAAAAACAGTCACGTTGAGACATGAATCACAGGCATCTATTGTTGTTGAATGTTGATGGCACTTGAGGCATTTTCCTTTTGGGCGTAGTCAAGGGGCCTGACTGGACTTTTTTTTTTTTTCTCTCCCCCTTGTCACAGGAGAAGGAAGAAAAGGCGTCCCAGGAATCATCTGAGGAGGAGGAAGAGGAAGAAGAGGACCAGTAATTCACAACGCATGCTACCTCACTCAACATACTGACTTACTGTTAACCAGAACTGGGCTGTATCTCCAACACCAGTGCCACCACATGACCACTGTTCACGACAAGGCCCTCTTTGCCAAAAGGAGGGTTAAACACAGTACAAATATCATGCAACAGCACTGGATAGAACGATGGACCTTGCTCAAGCATAGATCTAAGAATTACATGAAAGGTAACAGCCCTTTTCTCTACATGTCATGTTATCACAAGTCTTTTATACTGGACAAAGGTGTGCTCAAAGGAGCCTGGACGTTTCCATTTTTCCCCTAAAGATGGTTTGTAGGACATTTTCTCTGCTTAATGTTACTTATTTGTTGTACCTGCATCTGAGATGGAAGGGCATATAGATTTCTCTCCATGTTTTGTACTGGACAAAGGTGAATTTTACCTATACTTGCTGTTTTGGTTTTGTTTTTTTTTTTTTTTTTTTTGTGTTCGTGTGAAGTGGTTAACCTATCCCTTTGCATCATATTATAGATGGAGTTGAGCTTCAGCGTTTAGGATGAGAATAGGTAACTAATGGTAGAAGTGTTTTTTTTTTTTTGTTTTGTTTTCCCCCCCCCGTTTCTAACCTGCATAACCGATTTCACCCCCTTTCTCACCAGTAGAGCAGAATCATCTTTACCCGCCCTCCTTCCTGTAGGACAGTTTAGATTACTGCTTCTCAGACCTCCTTCGCAGTCCTCAGTGTGTAGAGGGGAGATGTAAAGTTTATCGTTAGTAATCAGAATAGTCTGATCAGACTTACTGTTTTTGTTCCTTCGGGTTACGTACCATTTAAAAAGAAACATGTGTGCTGCTTTTCATGTCATAATAAAACTCAAATCTTTTTTGGTATAATGTGTGTTTTTAAGGATAGGGTTGGCAGAGTTCTAGGTTGAGAAGCATCAGTGTCGTTTCTTCAGGGAGCTTTTACAAATGCTGTTACATTGGCGTCTTTGTCTTCACATGGTCCTCAGTTTCCAAGCGCTCACTCAATCACTCGCAAAGGCAAATTGCAATTGGTCAAACAAGGAGTTTGATTGTAATAGAGGATAGTTGGTGGCACTACTATCCAACAGGGCTGTATGTTTTTCATTCCATCTAGCTCTCACTGCTTCACCTAGCTTGGGCCTTCTGTCATCACTTAGTACAGTAATATACTTTTTAGTCTTTTGAACATGTGTGTTGTATGCCGTCTGCTACAGGAAAAGATGTTTGTGTATTTCTAAGTGTCAGGGAACCCGCGGTCACAGTCCACTTAACTGGGTTTTTCCACACACCTAAGCTGCTACAACCTCAGTTACGAAACCCGGAAAACTGCAAACAGGCGATACATGGCCTGGAATTTCATACCTCACTCAACGGCTTACTTTACCATATAATTGCATTAACTGGTTTTCTGTTGTTTTTAATGTAACCTCTGGCATGAGTTGGAAAGATGTCGTTATTACAAAGTTTGTGTTTTTTTTTTTTTTTTTTTTTTTACCTGACTGTAATGAGGTCTAAAGATATCAAGTTTGTGATTGTGTGTGCATACACAGCAAGTCTTGGCTCATGCATAACCAGAGCTTGCAGACAGGTTGTATTAAATGTGTGAAGCAAGTCAGGGAGACCTGTCAGCTTGACAACTGTGTTCACTGACTGTGGTAGATTAGCAGGTGTGTTTTTATCCGTTTTTAAAAAAAAATCTTCTGGTGCACTGAAATATTGGTTCAGATTTTCATGGACAAATGTTTGTGTGTTTGTGATAGACTGGGCGCTCTTCTTTCCACTTAACTGTTCTGTTGGCCACAGTGTGTTTGGCACTACCACACACAGCCACCCTCGCCATACTCATACAACGGTCAGTTCATGTCTTTTTCAACATCCTCCAACTACTCATATCAGCGTCATTACGTACATCTTGCATCCGTTCATTTATATACTGTAAACTCAACAGGATGGGATCATTCTTTTTAATGTACACCGTATATAAATGTACAATGTCTATATTTCTATGGTGCCCTACAACAATTTGTATCAGAAATGGTCAATAAAGAGAATTTTCTTTGTCATTTTTCTGTCACCTTTTTTCCCACCCAAAGGTTCAAATACACTTGCCAGTTATGGTGTCACTACTAGGTTAAACTGCAAATGATAATTACAGCACAAAAGTTATATTACTTTATTTACATGTCCAATGTTTAAGTCAACCCATCAATTCTCTCTCAAAGCAACAAACTAGTACAACACCCTGAAGGTGAAATTTTATAACAGTGCAGCCAAATTCACATTTTTTACATCAGTAGTTTTCCAACTTGTCAAACTGAAACCAGAGCTTTTCATGAGAGGTTAGCCAGGCATTTCACCAGTGCAACTCAATGTCATGATTGAGGAACAAAGTCTTTAGATAATGCATAGAAAATGAACAGTGGGGTGTAAAGATGAGTGGGGAGCACCATGGAGCATGTTCTGGGGTCCAGATGTTAAAGCTCATTCTCAAACACCTCTAGATGTCATACCTGATAACATCAAGTCTAGACACTATCTGTCCAAGACATTTATATTTACAACAAATATATTTTCCTCTTGAAGAACAGTTTTAACAGCTCAGTTCTGTAGTATTTAATTTACATTCACAAATGCAAGGCAAATAAATGTCTGTAAAGGTTACAATTTATCCAGAAAGCGAGGTTTCCTGAGTGCTTGATACAGTCAGACCTATGGCATTCATCTGAACAGACTTCAGCTGGAGGTAAATTTGTGTTGGTACCATGCCTTGTAGACAGGACATATTTAGGGCACTAGTCACAACTCATTTTGGAGATGAGGAGGTTGGTGTTATTTACTTCCATATCTGGCTTTTCATGCCATTGATAAGAGTCATAGGATTTGGCTAAACCACAAAACGATCCGCATTGTGGGGCAGCTAGTTAAATTCTGAGAGGAAATTAAAACCAAAGACGGGTAGTTCAACCTTTTGACTGAAAAGGAAACGTAGCAAGCAAACTATTTCTACCTTTAACATTATAAAACTTTGAATTTAAAACTATTTTTTGAAGTGATGTTTCAGTTTTTCATTTAAACAAATGTCAAAACTTTCCTCAAAGAAGCCATATTTGTTTCTAAAAGCACTGCAAACAACCAATCCAGGCCATGATCACAAATCCTTGCAGAGATGATTTTTAACTAGTGCAGAACAGTCATCCTTTTACCACACTGTGGACAAAGCCCCTAAATTATAGTCAGTACAAACGCCTACTGCAACCACAGGAACATAACTGCTTGCCGCAAGTTGCCCATACAACAACATTGTGATCGTAAACAGAGTAAGCCTACAGGAACCTGTATCTTTAGATATAATCTACCTTTCTTAACTTTGAGTCACGTCACCAAATACCACAGTAAAAAGTCGGAATAAATAATTTCAAATAAATAAGTTTAAGGTACCGCGTCTGGTAGGCACACAGGGTTGGCATCGGAACCACACAAATGAAAAGTCACTGTCTGTACATACACCAGGAAAAACAAAAACGCTGACTGTTGCTGATGTACTCAAAGATAACGGCAAATGGTAGCAAAGAAAAAAAACAAAAACAAAGAAAGTCTTGTGCATGACTTCTAGAATGATGGATCTCTGTTTCTGTCTCCACACTGAAAATGTTCTATGCCGGGGTTTACTACCATCATGCATCGACGTCTTTGGTCAGAAGAGGGCGTCGCTGTTGATAACTCCTGGCCCAGCCTTGTACAATCTGAGGACATGAAATGCAAAGAGGAAGTTTAGTTCAGGACAGGAAAGGCATAACTACAGTAACAATAATAATAATAATAATAATAATAATAGCCTCTTAAACCAATACAGAACTTGATATGATGGCTTTGTTCTTCCCATTTCACTGTTTCACAACATTTGAGTAAAGCGCAATGAGTAACTTTGCTCCTGGTCAATACTGCCCCCTAGTGTTTCTCATGGCTCAAGAGCATTTTGACTGGAATGGACCCAGGCCAATAATTTCTATAGTATTATTCTAGCCAGAACCAATTATACCTATTTCTGCTTCTTTGTAAACTAGAGTATTTGTACCACCAGGAGCATCAGAGGCAGTTAAGACAGCTTTGGTTTAACCTCGATAACCTAGATAACATGTACACACTAAAATACATTTGGTGTTTGGAGCTGCCTCAAAATAAAAGTAACCAGAATGCCAGCCAGTGTTTAAAAGGGCCAAAACGTGTGTAGAGAGAAACGTTTAAGTCATGTTTACGACCACAACTAGCCACTGACTGCTATTGTGGAGGATTGTGAAGTTTGCAAATAAAACGAGTAGTGCAACCTTTACTATACCACCCTATACTACTACTCTACTTTCTATTGTATATTTTGCAGCTATGTTTCTATGTGTGGGAGGAAGTGACTGGCCAATTGAGGAACTGCTGGGGAGTAAATGGTGCAACCAACAACCACAAAAAAAAAACTGTGAAAACAATGCAACAGTAGATGTGTCTTTTTTTGTTGGAAAATGCGGTCAGTTGCATTAAGATCTGGTGTGTTTAATGCCACCCTCTACATTTATAAAGATAGGTTCATCATACCCTTGTGTCCTCTTCTCTCCACAACATTTCTTGTTCAGCTTCATTAAGTTCCTCTGAAGGATCATATGTGTAAACTGGTAACAGCTGATGACGGAGTCTGTCAATTCTGAAGGGACAGAAGACAAACAAACACTTGTTTAACTGATCACACCGAGGCACTAAAGTGAAGCAATCAAGTTTATCACAAAAGCATTGTTCCGTTAAATCAGTAAGTGCAGATTAAAAAGCCTTACCTCCTCTTCTTACGGATATACATGACCTGGAACGTATAAAGTGAATTACAAGTATTACATATACTCTGTAAACGTAAGTAGGTCTCTCATTTAATTTAACATTTTCCTTTATGTAGGTCATCCTATGCCAACCACACTTACCACAGCTGCAGCGATCCCAAGGATAGTGATGAGGAGAAACGGTACCAACACATAGCCGACTGCCACATCCCCATCTATGATGGCAGGAGGCTGAGTAGTGCTGTTCATTGCATATGTTCAAGAAAGGGGGACACAGGGGGCTGCTTGTGCAGGGCCTTTACAAGCAGCAAACCCCCCACCTCCCTATGGCAGACACTGTGCAGCGGTCTCTCTCCTCAAGCTGCCCCTTTGTTGTTTATGCCTCATCCTTGTCGTTCATGTGACTTCCACATGGTATCACTGCCCTCCCTAATCAGCGAGAAATCTGCGGGAACACGTAAAAAGAGAGGAATTTGCAGTCACAATCAAGGGAGTTGTAAAGACACATGATGGCAGATCAGTTACGGGAAAAGGATCCCAACCGAGTTGCTCATACGCCAGCTTTTAAATAGGTATTTCAACAGCATATAAACAGTTAATGTGTAAGTGAGAACCGAGAAAAGGTGTCCCTTTTCCTGCTGCGGTCCGTTGGTCAGCTGGCATTTGTTATATCTGCTCATGTGTACTTCCTATTATCAACCTAGTTAAACTAAACTATCACTACTGCTGTCTACGGGCATGCGCACAGACCTACCTGCCACCGCTACTAGCTACTATATAAACACAGCTAACTGTTCACCGTTCACCGTTAGCTGCGCAGGTAGATGTTGTTTTTAATGGGCAAATAAGTCGACACAGGCCGTCTGCAGCAGGGCGGTTCTGTTCTTTAACGAGCTGTAATAAAGCTGTTATTTGGTTTTTTTTTAATATCTATACATTTGAGTAAAGTCATACTCACTGTGGGGACGTGCAAAGCCTCTGTGTCGTGTGTCGTTAATGTTGTGGGTTCGCAGGCAGCTTCTTCCGTCACCACTAACTTCCTGCCTGACTCTTACAAAGTAAAGGCGGCGTGACCATACACAAAAATGCATAAATTAACATACATATGGAAAAGAAAAGTACCCCTGACGTGTACTTTATGAACACACTATTATTCCATCTGTATACATGTTGGGAACGCATAAAATTGCATTTAAAAAATTGTGTCTAAATCTTTTTTTGGACCATGTAATTGTACTGGCTGGAGCTTGCATAGCCTGAAGTGCCTGAAGTATACAGTATTTTCACGCCAGACTCAGACCAGTTTGTAGGTGCATCTGCAGTGCACAGGCGACGGTACGCAGTAGCCAACACCAGGGCCTGCCACACTGAGTCGGTGTGGATGCGAACAGGTAAAACACCTGAGTATTAAATCTTGCAGCTTGTCTGTTTTTTGGGGGTTTTTTTTACCTCGTTGTTTTTAGTTACAAAAAAAGTGTAAAAAACAACAACAAAAAAAGGTCCAAAGGGAGAATTTTGTGGCCTCATGTGAAACTTCTTCTCACATAACAACTCAGTCCTCCATGTTGCAATGTTACCTCTGTGCAGGTAGCTGAAAGCCACCGTGATGATGAAGATGATGATGGTGGAATATGTAGAGTTTGACATGTTGGACTGTTTGGGCATTTCATGCAGGCTTCAGTGAATTCATGTCATTTTTGCTGGGTTGAATTCAAACAGATGAAAACCTCACTGGTAAGTTGTTTAATGTTCATTAGTCATAGATGCTGACTGTCATTTAAAACAACATAATGTTTTCTGCTGCTTGTGTTGTTGGCCGCTGTGTGTTTGGTTATGATAGTAATGGCAGTAAACACACATTGCTTGCAGACTTGTGGGTTGATTGTGTGGCTTTATTGTGTAGGCCAGTGGTTCCCAACCTTAGGGGTCACCAAGGCTTCATGGGGGGGTCGCTAGGCCTTCTTGATTTTAAGGTGTGTGAGAAAACTTACTTAAAAATAAACACAGTAGGCATATTAAGCAGCATTTGGTTCTTCTGTGAAGAAAAGTAAATGTAAAGTAAAATAAATAGTTAAATAAATTGTCTAATAGAACAATGGCTGAGAAAACACTGAATTTGTCCAAAAAAAAAGTATGAATGATTGTTACAAATTAATTTTAAAAAATACATAATACAGAAAGTTCTCTAAATCAAATCACTTGCTTTACACAAACATCTTGCAGTTACTGAGTTCACTATTTGGGCTAATTGTACATTTTTGAATATAATATGAAATATCCATAAAATATGTCACTTAGTCAGGGGTCATCAGTTTACTAAAATAATCTCACTATGTTTATCCATTATCTGATCATAGCTCTTAAATAGAAGTTGTGGTCCTTAAATATCAGCTGGTCGCTGTTTAATGATACATCCATGACACCGTCCATGGTGGTGAAATAGCTCACCTCATTGTAATCCGCATTTCTCTCCGTTCCCCCCTCCCAGCCTATTTGTTGTATAAGGGCCCACTACAGGTCCTGGCCCCCTCTGCAATGAGCCATCGGCTCTGCACCTGTATAGGTCTTTGATTTCTTTTTACAGGTTTTTGGCTGACATCCCTCTGTGCTGTGATTTACATGTTGCAATATTTAAAGGCTATGGTGATGTTGTTTATTAAGACGACCATTAAAGGAGTGTGTAGGGTTCAGTGGCATCTAGCAGTGAACTTGCAGACTGCAACTATCTGAATACAGCTCAGCCTTCCAAGTGTGTAAGAGAAACTGTGGTGGACACAAAACCTGTGAAAAATGCAAAAGGCCCTATTTAGGGTGTTTGGTTTGTCTGTTATGGGCTACTGTAGAAACATGGTGGTTCAACATTGCAGCCTCAATGGAAGAGGACCTTCTCCCTCTGTAGATAAAAATGTTCTAAGGTAACAAAAAACACAACAATTCTTATATTCAGGTGATTATGCACTAATAAAAACATACCTATGAATACTATATTACATTTTCTGTCAATAGACCCTCCTAAATGTTACACACTGGACCTTTTAAAGTACGGGTCCTAATTATTTTCTTGTTGTCATACCTTTTGGCTGACATCACTTCAGGGTGCTGCGATTTACATGTTGCACAGTTGTGTGTTGGTTCAGTCAAGGTCGCCGCACCCCCTATTCAAACTGCGTTCCCGCGGGTGAGGGAGCTGGCATCACAAAAGAACATTGTCTGCCATCACCACAGCATCAGCAGTTAGTCTGTTGGCGTGGTTTTGTCCTATATTGGTCCAAATAACTGTAAAGTTATTGGAAAGGAGTTTTAAGGGCAAACCAGGACCCTGGTCCCACTGACCCGGTTCAACATCCTGTCATAGAACCGAGGTCAAACCCAGGAACCGCTGCACTTTCAGAACCTGAAGCTGCTTCTTCCTGTGGACAGAGCAGGAGTTTGAGCAGCGCCACATGGTAAGAAGCACTGACACCAAAGTGGACCACTCCACAATTTCTTTAAACTTTTTAGAACATGGGAAAATAACCAATATCACAGCATGAGCCCCTCATGTCGACAACAAACTGTTCAGTTTAAGGTCCAGTGTGTAACATTTACTAGGATTTATTAGCAGTAATTGAGTATCATATGCATAAATATGTTTTATTAGTGTATAATCACCTGAAAATAAGAACTGTTATGTTTTTTTTACTTTAGAGTAAGCCTTTTTATGAAGAGCAGCAGGTCACCTTCCATGGAGGCCGCCATGTTTCTACAGTAGCCCAAAAGGGAAACCCCAACACTAGTTCTAGGGCTGTTTGTTTTATTTATCCGTTCTGTGGCCACCATAGTTTCTCCTTTGTGCTTGGAAAGTGAGGGTGAAGCAACAGAGTTAGAATCTGCAACTTAACCACTAGATGCCACTAACTCCTACACACTGCACCTTTAAGTTAGATGTTAGCAGTTGTGAAACATGTAACTTTAGTATATCTACAGCCTCAGGCTTGTGTAGCATGTATTTATCCATTTATTTATTACAACATATAAAATGTGTCTATTCTCTTTTCAAATGTGCCACTGATCAAGGCAAAGTGTAGGCACATATATGGTATGTGGTTCAGCATCGGACTCTGCAGTTGCTGCTTATAGACGATAATGTTATTAGCGATCATTTTTAAAAACATCTATCTATCTGTAGCTCACCTAGAGCATACGCCCCATGTACAAAAAGGTGGTGAACACTTCTGCCATGTTCAAATGACGAACAAAACACGTTGAACAAAGTTTGTGGTGGCAACTTTACACCAGTTTCCTGATACTGATACTTCTCCTAAAAGCCCTGGAGGAAAAATTCATTGTCACGTAGCACAAGAGATTAAAGTCCTCAGTGGTTTTGTGACTACCTGAGTTCAATGCAGAAAGGATTATATACAGTAAAGTGATACAATCAGCCACCATTTCCCAACTCATTAGTTTTGGTTTTGTGTGATTCATCCTCTGTCTTTCATCACGACATGTGTCGGTGTAAAGAGTTTTGATCCAAAAGTCTGACTCTCTGTATAGCTGGAAGTATTCAGGCGAACTGCACACAAAAATATTCACTCAGTATGATTTCAAAAACATCAGTTTGAAAATGTTTTTGCGTATTGCAGTATTTTAACACGGCCATATTGCGTTTTTGTTTAATAATGGCTAGCTTACTTTATAATGAAGAAAGAACTCACATTTAACTCACATACTTCATATTTATTCTATTGAAATATAATGGCACAAAACTATGGTACAACATTTATATGATTGTTTTTACTAGGAGACAAAAAAACAACAATTGATTGGTCTAAACCAAAATGTTTAAATACATACAATTAGAATGATAGAAAAACATATCTTTCTTCTGTGTAAATGTGTATTTATATGTATATAAATAACTGTATATATTGCTTTATTTGATTCATTTTCTATGTTATTCCATTAATTGAATTATCTTCAGTTGTGTAGCATGAAGGAACTGCAAACTTTCATTTCATTTTATAACCTTGTGTTGTAAAATGATAAATACATTTCCTTGATTCCTTGATGGTATATTTAGTGTTTACAGCAGGTTCAGTAGTTTTTGCATTGTCAGTCTCTTGCCACTAGATGTCACTAAACACCTTTGAGTAGAATTTCCCATGCCCATGTAAATGTTGGGTATTCAGTTCAAAACTGACTTACATGTTTTGTTGGTGTGCTGTAACAGACCTGCATACAGTGGATCCCAAAACAGCTGCAGCCTTGGGCTACTTCTTCAGAATGTTTTGGTTCTTCTAACATTTATTTGATTAGCACAGATGAATCTGTCAATAAAATTGCTTCCAGGGAGATTAATTTCCCTGGACAGTTTGCAGTGGAGAGAAGGAGGCAATGAGGTTGCATTGTTTACTCAAGGCAGAAAGGAGGGAAGGGAAGAGAAAAAGCCTCCTAAGATTTGATTTAGTTGGTTTTCACATCAGGAAGGTGTTGGAGTTAGGAAGGAGATTAGGATTTAATGTGATGCATGTGATTATTTATTTGCTTGTGTAGGTTAGGGGTCAAGGTTAGACATGCAGTAGAGATAGTCCCTGAGCATTTATGTATATATTAAAAAACAATTCAACCACGTGTGACTGACTGTGCAACAAAGCATTTCTGCACAGCTCTGATAATGAAGAGTTGTGCAGCAGTGTGTGATTGCAGAGAACAGTCTGTATTGTCAGTTTCATTTTATCATTAGCATAAAGTTATTGCTCCTCAGAGTCAAACCAAAGCCAGCATCCGGTTGATCTGCTTTGAGGCATTTGCTCTTCCAGCAACCTCATCTCCACAAAACAAACACCTCCTCTCTTCACCCTGTTTGTGTTAGATGTTGAGTGGCTTTGGCAGGGCGCTTTGCTCCACTGAGAGTTGAAAAGGACCAGCGCTGCAAACAATATTATTCTTTCCTCTGGTTTAACAGAGATGTTTACTGATATCTAATGTCAGTGTTTTCATTTCATTTCTATTTGTAGGGAACTAATTAGCACATCTGTTGCACTACAGGCAGATCAAATTTCAAAGGTGTTATCATTGCACCCAAAAAAATGAAGGCACATTGTTTTGTAGCTCGTGGTTTGTCCATTGATACAAAGTGCACTAAAAAGGGGAAGGGTAATGGAAGGCACTGTGAGCATGTGGTTAATATCAAAACCTCAAACCTCAATGTAATAATTAATTTACAAATAGCAATAAGGATGTTCTCGAGTAAATAATGAGAACAAATTAAAAAGGTGAGATTAATTTTATATTCAAAATTGGTTCTTATTTACTTTACTGAAAGAGGGCTGTGATGCAGTGATTAGATACCATATAAAAATCCCATACAAACACATAAAACACCATTGTTTGGATTTTGTGATTATAGTGCTTGTGAATTTGCACATTAATGAACAAATCTAACTCCATTCATCACATATTTTAGCAAGCTAACATGTAAATCTGACCTCAGATCATCCAAACAAGAATCCAAAAACGGACCCTGTTTACAACGCTTCTGGACCACAGTGTAATAATGCAGCGCTTTACTGTCAGTGAGAGAGTTCTTTGGTGCAGAATGTAAGAATTGTGCACAGCCATAGAAACCAGAAGGCGAACAGATCTTCCTTGTGTACTTGAAACAGTGGATGGAGATTCAGTAGGCCTGTTAGGCAGCCAAAGGACAAAAACACTCCATCTCCCTCCCTGCAGTGTAGTGCAATGTGGGCGTGATTGACAAGTAAAGCAGTGACGCCCCCTCTCACCATGCGCTCTCCTTATTGGTTGGGAAGTGGAAGTCACATTTGGGGCTCTCCCCATTATAAATTATAAACATTAACTGAGATATTATTTTAGAAATGCTCTTTTATGTTTAATGAAAAATATTTTCCACGGACTTAAATATGATCCACATACAACTCCCATGCTCATGAAAGCTCAAAAAATGTGAACGACCCACTCCCACCTGCAGATGCGGATAAATCTGGCGAAGCTCCCCTAAAAGCTCATGTGGCAAATGTTGGGAGGGGAATTTGAAAAGTCCTGTTTCCGAGTTGCATTAGCTCACTCGTTTCGCTTGCATCCTATTTCTGTCGTCCATTGAAAGGAAATCGCTGGGCCATCCCCCCGACGCGCGCCTGTGCTGTGGAGCTCCCCCTTGCTGCGTGCATCGTGATCTAGTGGATGCAGAGTCTTGCAGAGAACGCAGGGTCACCTTCTGTCACTGCAAGGGGAAATACTGAATAAACTGCAGCATTGGCTGTTGGGTAGTAGTGCACTTCAGCAGCAGGCAGCATCTCTGGTAAGTCATTCCGTGTGTCTGCTCCGTGTTGATGCCACATTGCTGCACAGAGAAGCTGAGCATCCTTATTAGCAAAGGGCGACGCAGAGATAAAGGAATCTCGCATCGTTTCCCATCGTTTGGATCATGCCTCATCTCCTCTCTGCTGCCATACCGACCTAAGTACTGTAGATGAATTTGCAATTCTAAAGCTATAGCAGTGTCGAATTATGCATGCGTCATTTCATATGATGTACCGTTGTTTGCATACACCAAGGGTGAAGAGTACCATCTTGCATCATCTTGGATTACTATTGCAGGCATTGCTCTCAAGAGAAACTGTATCCTTGAGTCGTTTAGTTTAGTTTTGCACCATCAACCTAATGTTCTTACTTCCTGTGAAATTACAGGACGGTGCAGGGTGTTGTTGTTTTTTTTTTTTTGTTTTTTTTTTTTACAATGCAGCTGTGTGTGTTGCCCTTCGATTTTGTCAGGATGAGCAAATTTGACCTCAGTGTCCAAAATTGTATCAGCAATGCAATGCGCTATGTGCTTAAATACCCTCCACAGAGAGATCGGCACAGAAATTGTCAGTGTAATATCACAGTGTGTTGCCATGTCACACTATAGTAGATGGAGATGGTGGTCAAGGCTTGGGGGAAGGATTGCCATTTTATGTTCCTTTCCATGCGCCAAATGGGTAAATAAGAGTAGGAATGTGAAGTACGTCGATCAAACACCTCGTAATGATCACTGCTGCATCTACATGATGGGGTTTTATCGCCACATATGCACTGGATATTAGGAAGGGAGGTTTTTTTTATGGAGGATTTCTCGGTGAAATGGACGCGAATGTTAATGAGAGCACTCCGCTCTGACGTTATGTAATTGGTTGTCACAGCACAGCGAGGAGCCATCTCTAGCGTCATTGTTTTTCTCTCTGACAAACCAACAGCACCACAGAGGAGGAGCATCCTGTTTTCTACATGGGATTAGGTGCATGTGGTCTTTTAATCATTCATCAAATCTGCTCCCGAGCTGAAATGCATCCAGGCTTAACTGCTGACTAAAGTATCTCACGGCCACTTTTTTTTTATGCGTTAGATGTTATCTTACGCTGTGTTTCAGTTCCTGCAAGCTGCTGTCTTCTACCTAAACACCCAGCCGTGCCCGTACATTTCCACCCACAATCCACAGAGAATGCACGGCTGATTAAAGGGCTGTTGTGTGTGTTTTTTGTTGTTGTTGTTGTTGTTGTTGTTGTTGTTGTTTTAGTGTCAACCCCTGCAGCTCGTTCATCCTCATGGTGACGTAGCGGATGACAGACAGCTCGCTGTGAACCGCCTCAGCTGGTTTTGGAGCTGTCCGCGGTGCTGAATCTACTGTTTGCTCGAGTGCTGTCTGTCAGCAGTCAAGGTGCCCCCAAGAGAGCCTGACACGAGGCTGTAAAGAAGACATGATGATACTGTGGGGGGGGGGGTAATCCAATTGTATTGCGGAAACGGGGAGTTAAAGAGTACCTGCTATTTATTAGCCGAGTCCCTCAGTCTTCAGGTGGAGACGAGTTGAAAGTGTATCACCATGAACTCCTTCAGGGCACAATATTTGATCAGAATTTCACTTTATCCAAGTTCTGCGGGACCTGGTCTCTGTTTTGTGATTCTTTTGTGAGTCTGTCTGTAGCAGTGGTCCCGAACCTTTATGACCGCAAAACACACGCACAATGTGTCTGTTTAATTTGAATGATTTTATGTGCCTGAAGAGATAGAAGTATTAATGGCAAAAAACAAAATGGAGAAATTCAAAATAATTGTGTGCAAATGTTTTTTTTTTTTTCATTCTTATCCTTTTAATCGTCCTGTGACCCTTCAGATTTATCCACAGGTCGGGATCCACTGATCTATAGCGGCCTGTCCATCTATAATTCAGGTCTAGTGTATTGAACTTCAGTACTTGTTTGGTACCGACTGTCTGTAGCACCAAATATAGAAAACTGTCAGGTACCGGAAGTATTGAATAGTAGTCTGAGTCTGTGCTTGTACGTGTCCTTGAGGGGAATAGAGCTATTTATTAAATCACAAACTACTCTTCCTTCTGCCTTCTGAGGCTGTGTGTTTATTTTCTAACCACAGGTATGTCCTCTCTAACGTACTGTAGTGCCTTCAGTGCGTCTGTGGTACTGTTCATTTTGTGTTTCCATGCTCGACTTGTTTTGTTTTTGATTACAGCGAGGCAGCGTCTTCCTGCTCAGGAATTTAATTGCCATTTGCACTCATGCAACTACTGACTTGATCTGTGGTTATCTTTAACCATTAACAAAGAAACTGCAGTTGTGACATGAATGCTATCTGCCACAGGGAGCATACCGTATAGCAAGCTTAGAAGTGAAAATAATAGTTTTAGGCAGTTTTGCGAAATGGTTTTAGGTAGTTTTTAATCCGACTTCTCTTCATTTTGGATTCTTTTGGCCATGTACATATCAAATGACAAAGGATTAACAGGAGCGTGGGATTTGTGGAAAGCACTGCAGTTCAAGCTATTGGTTGGTGGGGTGGTTTAGTTGTTTGTTCTTCTATTAAATGTAAGATATCTAAAATAGGTACAGTGTCTCTGACAAGTGAGGGTTTGCTTTGTTCTTATCACATTACATGTCAGTTAAATCTATAATCAATTTTACTTAACGCATAACGATATTTTTGTTTCAGATTAGATTTCCCTCCCACACATGCTTGGTTTTTATGTGGCATTACAATGCATCACGGCAATGTGAGGACTAATGGAGGAACTGATGCAGAATACTGATACATCTAATTCACTTTTCAGATGCAAACCTTCACACAAGCAGCCGAAAACAGGCTTCAGTTAGATCTGATTCTTGTCGCGTCTCTCTCGATATATCTCACACGGAGGAAAACACTGTGTTTACTCATGTCGGTGACCTTTTATTGTTGTTATGTTACATTGTCAGTCTTTGGCGTTTGTGGGTAGTCCTAAGACATCATGCGTGAAGAAGAGAAAGGACAATGTGTGAAATAGTTGTTGTTTTTTTTATAACCTCTTTAATGTGCTTGTCGATGAAAGGGTTAAAGGCTGCTGTTGCTCTGTTAAAGGAGGAGATAGTGGTGTCTGACAAGGTGTGAAAAAAGAGGCAACGTAGAAACAGAGAGTCTGAAGGGCAGCTCGAGTGTCTCATTTCTCTCAGTGCAGAGGAGAACACACACAGGGGAAGACTCTATCCTTGGTGGAAGATTTATGACATTGGAGATGATCAGAAGCATCCACGGCCCCTCTCGCACCACAAACAAAATCTCATTTTATTTTGCTAAAGAGAGATAAACAGAAGTACGATGCAGCCTATTTTATGAACAATTAATTCACCAAATGTGAAATCTGATAGCAGATTTGGATATTAATGAAGTCTTTTACTGTAAGTTTATATACAGAAGGTACATATGAGTGGATGTTTCTCCAGTTTTCTACTCAAGTCTGTTTCTTTTCATAGCACAGTACGAATGAGTTACATGTTATGGTGCCTTTCATGCAGTGTCATCACAACATCTCGTCAGTGTTTGCCTACTCTGAATCATCATCATGTGGCTCAACCTGAGGCAGAGCACTGTCCTAGTATGTGTCATAATCTTTTGGGCAATTCAAAATGGAGTCCCGGTGTGCCAATCCAGGGCATGAATCGTGTACAACTGGTGTGAATGGGTAAACATAAACAGGTTTTGTTTATGCATTGATTGGTGGCAGCTGGACCAGCGAATGCAGCAGCTTCAGGTCATTGCTTTGAACACTAGAGGGTGTGTTCCACATGGACATGTTTAGAGACAGAAAGACAGATGATTTAATGTTGCCTTCTTGACTGGATAGTACAGGAGGTCATTATGGTATGTGTGTTCGTGTGTTGCTAGCACTGAAATTATTGGTCAGAAACTAGGGCTGCAAGTAACAATTATTTAACCAATTAATCGTTCTATAAATGTGAAAAATGTTGTCAAATGTGTGATTTTGTGTGACCAACCATCTAAAAAATGAAAAGGGTATTTCATTTCTTACTATAAATGATAAAGAAATTAGAAAATATTCACATTTAGGAATAATTTTTGGCACTTTTGCTTAAATAAATAATTACATTTCTGATAATTGATTAATCATTTCAGACTGCAGGTAGCTGTTCAATGATTGACAGTCAATGCTGGGATTTCTTCATTAGGGGTCTGCTGATCTCTGTATCCTTCAGAATTATGAACAGTCAGATGAAAAACACCAGTGGCATAAAGTGACCATGACTCAGCATTTTAACATAAATTTGCACCAGAAGAAGAAGAGGTGGACGTTGTCAGGCATCCCATGGTGCCCACAGCTCAGGTTGCTTCATTTGATGGGTTGGCTGCTTCATCACGGTTCTGCCTGAAAATGCAGTCCATATCCAAACTGCTTATCGTGTTCATAAGGTGCAGAAGTATATCTCACACAGACACACACCAGGTGAGAGGGTGGGTACAGCCTGCACAGGGGAGATTCAGTCACACCACAGCAATGACTGAAAACACAAATTATTCAAATACAAATGCAGAGAAGAGAATAACAGGGAGGCAAACTCGTGTCAGTCTCATTATAGAGATTACGCTGAATTGAAGTCATTATAACCTCATTAACATTCAACACTAAATGTCTAGGTATTAAAATGAAGACAAGATGGCAGTATGGTGATATGAGCATGATGTGTAAGCTAAAGCTGCAACCAGCAGTTTTTTTTAATTAATGAATTTGTCGATTATTTATTAGATTAAATTGTTTTTTAAAAATGCTGTCACGCCTTCCCAAAGCTCTTTCAAATAGTCTAAAATCCAAATATATTCCATTTACAATGATATAAAACAGAGAAAAGCAGTAAATCCTTACATTTCAGAAATTGGAACCAGTGATTGGTGATTTGCAGTTTTGCTTTTTCTGAGTAAATTTAACATCAATCGATTAATTGTTAATGTGTTTCAAGGTGTATTAAACATGCCATGAGGCAATCATGTTATCAGGACAGTGGTATGGTGGTTTTAAACATACATTAACTTGCAGACAGTAAATCCAGTTAAACTATTAGCTCTAGCTAAAAAAAAAGGATGTTTCAAGAAACAGATATGAAGTGATAATTTCATTCTCACACCAGTTATAAGCTTTAAACCTAAATATATATATATATATGTTAATTGACGACGTCAGTCACATTTTTATCTTGAACAAAAGGATAATATTATACGACCCATAAAACATTTAAATAGGCTGCTACCTTTTTGAAGTTTATTATCAGTAGTTTTGGTGGGATTCAGCACTTGCGGTGTTGTTGTATACCTTTTTATATTACCAATACTAGCTGCAGTATACTGCTGTTTAAGGTTCTGTAGTGTGGGTGAAGTATGTGTTGAATGTTGTACTCTGTGTGGGCTGCATGCCGTTAATATGTGGTATGTGTTAGTGACAGCAGAAAAGGTCACACTTTTTAAAATAAATGCTGAATATATGTGTTATTATTTGCTTATCTTATATCAGTGTAACATGTCATCTGCTGCCACATATTGTTCAAAAACCATTGCAGATTTTATAGCCATGTCATTGTCTTTTCACTACATTAAGGCCATACAGTGGATAATTACCTTACTTACCTTAACATCGGCTGGTTTATAGTTCTACCAACATTATGTAAACAGCTGGTGTATTAGTGTAAAACTGTAAAGGAATAGGCGAGGCTAAGGTTATTAAATCTTTTACTTCCCATGGTGGCAGAGTTAACTAATCTCCCTTTGATTATGATAGTTCAAAATGAAATTCAACTAATCTCTTAATATCTTCGCCTCTGTAAGGATAATTGCTGTTTTGACACTTTGTTTCAAACGTGTTGGGCTGATTTTCATTTATATTCACATTAAGAGCAATTTAGCAGCACTTAAACTCTGTTACTCGATCCTCAATGGACTAACCCCCAACATCTCGTGTTTTTTTTTTTTTTTTTTTGGCACAGGTGATCTCCTGCAGGGGACCAACAGCTCTCCCTAAGGTTTATGGAAACCTGACCTCCCATTGGTGGAGAAGGTCAGTTGTACCTGGTTCTTTTGCTGTCCGTTCTCCACAATCTCCTTGCCTGGTTCTCATTTAGTCTGAAGATTCACAGGTAACAGGCTTTCGCACAGACTCGAGGGCTTTTTAAGGACCTTTTGTATAATTTATCATGCTAAACACACCACTTGGGGTAATTAATAGCTCTTTGTCAATGCTGTTAATATTTCATGAGGGTGTCCCAGTCTGTCAGTGGGCTAACTGGAAGTCCTTTTTGTTTCTTATTTGAGACTTTTATATTGAATTGTTCTTTAAGCGGACTGCTCTGTGCATAAGTGTGTACTCTATTGATAAACATGATGTATAGGATTACAGTGCTACTGTAGGGTTGTATTTCAGCTCTCTAACTACAGTGATTTTATCCACTCTGGGTAGAAATAACATGACTCCCTTAATAGTTTAGCTATTGTTTTGTTTTTAGAGGAGCTTATCCCAGAATTTACTTTTATTACCTCACTATGAGTAGCTCTGGCTGTCTCACTGGGCAGAATGATAACTCAGGAGTGATTATTGATTTCCCTGTTGATCTCTTTGTCTTGTGGGCATTATGACAGAACCCGCTGCAGCAGAGAGATTAAGCAGCTGTTTGATGAGCATAGACTGTTGTTTGTATGTGTGCAAGAAGGCTCATCAGAACATGATGGCCCAGTTCAGTAAGGCCTCTCTAGGGATACTGTGCGGTTCGGACTGGGAGAGGAAGCTGGGTCAGAAGAATATAGTATGTTTATACTGTAGGTAAACAAAGTATGTTCAAAGGTTCAGCAGGAACTTAAAACCTCACAAAAAATACAGCTGCAAAGAAAGTAATATCGCCAGCAGTAGTATAGAGTATACCTGTTAGTCTTGTGCAGATTTTCTACTTTCTACTTCCTGGTCTGTAAAACTAAATTCCCTACCTCCACAAATACACATTTGATATCACGTTGCAACTTTGATTTGTAGATTTGTAGGTTTTTATATAACCATTTAACCAAAAACTGGCTGATCAGATCAGGAGATTTTTAGTTTTCAATTATGTTATTTTCAGATATTTAATTACGGACAAAATGTACTAATTTAATTCAGCATTATTAACATGGAATTATTTAATTATTGCAAAAGATATGAACTATTCATTAACTTAAATGTCTTTCATTCACTGGACCAAGCTTTTTTTTAGGTGTTTTGATTCAAGTAAATAATTGATTTCTCTATACAGTTCTGATTATTTCTAGGGAAAGTTTTAGGTAAATCAAGAGGCAATTATTTGAGGTGATGACAGACAGACAGACAGACAGACAGACAGACAGACAGACAGACAGATACTTTATTGATCCCATAGGAAATGTAAGTATCCAGTAGTTTATGCAGAGAAGATAACAAGACAAAGACAAATATAAATTGTGCATATAACATGGCCAATAACTGACACCGTACATCACAGCTCCATTGAGGAAAAGGAAATACAATGTATGTGTTACAGTCTTGAGTTGTGGTTGCCATAAAGCCAATAATCACAAGTAATCAAATAAAACCAACCATTTGATTCGATTCATTTGTTATCTGCACTCAGCCACACTTTGCATGGCCTATAAAAAGTTGGAAAGTAGGATAGTGATATTCTATTTTCTTAAAGTCAGATTTAGAGTTGATCGCTGCTCCCTCCTCGTGCCAGCTGGGGAGTTCGCCCAGGCTTAGTGGCTTGTTTATGCCTTCAGGCTGGTTAGCCAATTCGCACATAGAAACATTTACACCAGACCTATTTATTTTCCTTCCTTCTTTATTTAACAACCACCAGCACTAGTTTGGCACATAATTATGATATCTATCACTCACTGTCCAAGCCAAATTGGCAATATCTGTTGTCAAGACTGCCTCAAATAAACACTACAGGTATGTGCCAATTCAAAGTATGATATAGACAAAATACAAGTTACACAATGTTTTTTTAATGAGCTACTGCTTGCTTTTAGTCTCCAGTCTCTGTCACTGGAATCAGTCCGTTACTCTACCTAAATGGCCTCTGGGTATTAGAGGTGGGTATAAATAGAGATGTAAGATGATTATAGTCTGGACAATCAGTTGTCTCTGGGCAAACTGGTGTTGTTGCTTGTATTGTCCTCTCAGTTTCTGCTATCATGATTGTATTTAACTGTATCAAGGAGGTCTTTATTGCACTGACAGTGTCCAACCTACCATTTTACTTTTTTAATATATTGTTGTATAATTGGCTTGGTAGCTGCATTTGGAGGGCAATAGCTTGATGCTATGTTGGTGGTCGGTATTTAAGGAACATGAGAATCCCCATTCATAAAATGTTTTAGCCATGCTTGCATTGTGGTTCTATGGAAGGCAATGACGGTCACTCCTTCATTAAATTTTGTACAGACATTCATGATCACCAAAGGAGGAATGTTACTGACTTTTGTGATCCCTTGACTTTTCTCCTAGCGCCACCATGAGGTTGAGATTTATGGGTTGGCAGTGGATTATTGGATAGATTACCATGAAATTGGGTACAAACATTCATGTCCTCCTCAGGATGAATAGACCTTTTTTCACAGCAGCTATTTTGACATGAAATAGTAGGGTAAACACAGGTGTTACTAATGATACTAATTCAGGTTCTGTTCCATTCAGTGTAGCAGTGAGCAAACATGCACAATAGCAGCAACCTGACTGTTTGACCTGAATGGAACTGAACCTTAATTAGTGTCATTAGTAACACCTGTGTTTACCGACTATTTCACGTCAGAGTGACAGCTGTGAAATCAGGTCAAAACAAATCAATTTGCCTAATAATTTATAATCTGGTGGACTCTTAGTTAGTTAGGCTCTTTTTTTTATTGTATTTTAATCTCATTTTCATTTTTCCAAAAGAAAGAGAAATGCAGCTGTGAGAGATTTTAATGTTGCAGTGAAAGCAAACCCTCCTCTCTTCCCTCTCATGTACAAACAAAAGCAAAGGTACATTTTAATCATCAGGAACATCATGTTTGTTAAAGTCAGTATGAGTAACATTTACTTAAGTAAACCACCCTTGGACCTCTTTTTAAAAGAAGAAATTAAATTAAGTTTAACCACCTATTTATTCCTAAAAATAATTATATTTGTTGATGTTATTTAAATGTCTTAAGATATATATCCCTTTTTAGTTAAAATAATCTGTAGCAGTCTCTCCTTTTTAATAACACCGCCTCCCACTCCCTCTCTGCACACCTCATAAATTCACATACACACATGTACAAGCGGTGCATTTGAAGGCAGCCAATCGGTATTCAGTGCAGCATCAGGCAGCTAAACGGCAAGAAGGCAGAAAGCTGGTGTGTTTGAAGAGCAACATTCCCAGATTTACTATTGCCTTGCTCATTTACTCCCTCCCTTCCTCTGCTGCCTCTGTCGGCCTGGACATCAGGAAAAACTGGACTGGAACCATCCTCTCTGCTCCATCTCACAGCCACTGCTGCATGTCTGCAGTTCATTCCTTCATCACCAGCCATCACAATATGCCTGTCTCGCACTCCTCTGCTCTCCTCTGCTCTCCTCTGCCTCTCCGGTCCGCCTCTTTCTGCCCTCCCCTGGCCATTTTTTCCCCCTGTCTTCACCACACTGTCACCAGGAGGCTTGTGGCAAGAGGCTTGACAGTTACATAACTACTGCAGCAGCGCTCTGGACGCTGTGTTAGATCACAACTCAGTCGCCAAGTGTGTATGTGTGTGTGTTTATAGGTGGTTCCTATTGTGAAATGTATGTTTCTGCTTAACAGCCACATATTGGGTTGTATCCAGCAGGCATCCATTCAATAGTCTCTTTCTATCTCTCCGTCCCATTATTTGTTTCCAGCTGTCTCGGTTCTCTCACTGTTTATCTGTTCTTGAAGAAGGATTATATATCTTCACAAAGTTTCTGGCACAGATGGCTCATTAGTGTAGCTATAGTGTATGTAAATGGATGGAGTGGTAGTAGTCTTCCCACTGTAAATTCACATTAATCACAGGATTACAATTTTACAGCTTGACAATTAATTTTTAACAGTCTTATTGTAACTTTATTTCTGAGGAATCAAGTTTTTATCATACTGTTAGTTTATTATGCTGAATGCATCTAAACAACACAGTCTACTTCCATGCTATCAGCTCTGTGAGACTGTGCTAAGGCACTGTAGTGAGCTAAATGTTTAACATGTTCACCATGTCGGTGTAGCATGATAACATTTGCAAATTAGCAGAATATTTTGGACAAATTAAACATCTGACTTGATGATGGCAAGAGAAAAAAACATGTATCTGTAAAAACGTCATGGCAGTCCATCCTGTAGTTGTAAAGATATTTGACTCAAAACCACAAATATCAACCTCATGGTGGCAATCAATCCAATAGTTGCTGAACTATCAAGTGAGATGGCCATCCCTGGAACCATGCAATTAGTGTGGCTAAAAGAATCATTCAACAAACATTCGCAGAGAAGATACCAGTCAGTGGCTGAACTGATCCAAAATGGGCCTAGAAACCAATACTCAGTTGATTCAAGATGCTTTATGTATTGAACAACTTCCTTCAAAGCTCAAGCTACAACTTCAGCCCTTCATTAGCAGTGCAGGCAGGCAGATTTAATTATGTCACAAAGTATTTATGTGTCATGCATCTTCGACTGTCAGTGAACTAGGATTTTTTCAATGCCTTCGATGGTAGTTTTTTTTTTACTGATGGTTTCATGCACATCCAAGAGTTGGAAATGCTCCAGCAGCCAATAACTTAACTTTGTCTAAGTAGATATGAAATATAACTTTTATCTCTCGATCCCCGGGCAATAATGAACCTCTGTCTACACTACTATGTAGGGACTTACTTTTCAAGTAGGCTGTGTAATATAATGATAAATACTCCAGTTCTCTCTTTGACTGCAATGTGAACTCTTCTTAGACCTGATTGAATGAGCACACGCCACCCACTGGGCTGTCACTGGTGTTTTCTTCAGACAGTTGTTTTGGAAATGTTGTCAAATTTCTCTTATGAACTAAAATGCTCTAAATAAACTTGAAAAAGGCTGTGTAGCTATAGAGTAATGCTTCAAGT